TAGGAAAAAAATTGCACACCCAAAAGTTAAACTATTAAAATACATTTTTAAAAAAGCATTTGAAAAGATGGTCTGTATTTTTTGATATATTACTTTAAATCCCTGAAGAAAATACTCTCTAATTTTTTTTTTTATTATTATTTTTTTGGATTTTTGGTGCCTTAAAGAGCATCAGTTTCAGCTAGTTAGCTATTATACTTTCCACAGGTTTTGGTTCCATGACTTAGAGAGAAATTAAATCCTAATATCCTAAGTGATACATTGTTTTTTATCCTAAATCCAAATTATTTCCTTTCCCAATGTACATTCAGAGGAAGCTAGAGTCAAGACAGAAACAAATAAAATACTTGTGCAAAATTACTACATTTTTTATTAATATAAAAACATCAAAAATAGAACTATACTCCATGAAAGAGACAAAATAATCAAAGGTATATAATCATATTTGCCAATGATACTGGGGACTGTTTTTTTTTAAACTTTTTTTTTTAAGTTAGCATTCTACAGCCTTTCCATCTACCAAGTAAAGAAAGAACTCCTTTTAGATATATTGCAGTGGAACTTGAATTAGTGATTCCTGACACAGAAGTCCTACCATTCATGTTAAATTTTACTTCCACATTCTGTAATTATTTATAGAAATACAAGTTAAAAAAAAAATTAAAATTAGATCAATTTGATAGAAAAAAAAGTATTATTTCTAAAAATCAAATTCTTATTCTTGCAGCAATGCTTTTTCAATGAAAAATGATTGCATTTCTTTCTAAAGCTGTTTTAGAATGAGGAAAAAATATGTTTTGTTATAAAATTGACATTCATTGTTTTATAAGTCAGGTCATTATAGAAGAAAAACAAAAGTTTATACGATAAAAAAGAAGTTGCACTAAAAAGCCAAAAAGGAAAAAACAAAATGTCAGGTAACATATTCAAAGTTCCCAAAACCCAGTAAAGTTAATAAAATGCAGCAGTAACCTTTCCATGAAGTTGTACGTAACAATTTCCTCAACTTTCAGGCACGACATGTCTTTTTTCAGGACTGAAGATCAAAATAATTTCCTATGTTCTTCAAAGAAATACTTGAGAACTATTTGTGTCTGAAATATTCAAAATCTTTCCCACACTGTTTCAATCAGTAACAAATTGCAATACAGTCTTTCAACAACTACTGCAAGACATCCTTTTTAGATGACAGTATTACAAAATAGGTAGCAATACATGATCTGTAGCAACCTTAAGCATCAGTAGTTTCAGCTAAAACAAGCTCTCAAGTTGAGTTTGTACCCTCTTTTATCTGGGAGATTACAGGCATATATTTCTTGGCTCATTGCCCAGGAGATCAGACTGTACAGCACCTTTTGAAGGCACAGAGCCAGAATAAGCAATCTGACGGATTTTAATGGCTCTTCCCTCAGGATTTTGATAACTGGAAGACAATAGACAATGAAGGACATGACATCACCTTTGGTAACTATGCAAACATTTCAGAAGCTCTTATTGCTTTAGAGCAATTCTAATTCTTCAGATGTTGGCAAAAGAGTTAATTCTTACTACCGTGCTTATTGATACATAAATATCTATTGCAAGACATCTTTAAAAAGCCACATAAAATCTAGATTTAGCAACAAACCACAAAAAAGAATGAGAAAACTGTGCCAGCATTCCAGTGAATACAGAATAGAACAATTTTTAAAGAAACAAGTAACTTGTAAAGCTATATTGTAGAATTTACAATGGAGAATTATAGTGGTTCAGTGTTGTTTTTTTTTCTTTCCCTGTGTCTAGGTAAATAAAGAACTAAATAATTTTGCATGTTACGTATGTTCTACTACAGAGAGCCTTGTAAAAGCACTGGTATTTTCTTCAGCTCTCCATGATTTTACATAGGGTTTAGTTATGGGGTGGTTTTTTTTTACTTTCTTTGTTGCTATGAAAACAATAAAAATATTGATTTAAGAACCAAATAATTTATGGTCACAATAAAAAATAATTAAATAAACCATTATTTAAAACATCTAAGAATTCCAAAGGATACACAAAATAAGTATTTAAAAATTATGGTAAAACAAATTATAAATGAAAAATTAAAGGTTTATATTAAAAATTCCTTTCAAAAATATATTATTTTATCTTTCAAATACTTTCATAGGGCGTTTAGTGTTTTCACATAATCTAGTTCCAGGAACCATGAGAAACAATGTTGGAACAGAACAGATGAATCCATTTTAGATATACTTTAGACGTGTTTATTGTTAAAAAGAAAAGCAAACAAAATACTTTTGAAATATGAAATAAATGAAACAGTCAAACAGCATTTTAACACCAATAATGACTGTACAACTCAGTAAAGTTTTACTAAACACATTTAAAGGCATTCCATCTAGCAAATTATAAAACCTGTCAAACACTTACGTAAATGCAAAAACATTAAATACACTTGATAGAAATATATCTGGAAATAAACTCTAAGTATTACTATTTCTTCATATTATTCAATACTATTTTCACCTAATATCCAGTTTTACCTGTAAGACTATTTTTATTATATTCTTTGCTCCTTTGCCTAGCACTCATCATCATACAGTTTATTTCCCCACATATTTTTTTTTGCACAGTTTCAAAAATAAGAATTTAATATCAGACAACCCCAATTTCTCAGTGGGAATTATAGCAGCAACATTTAATACTTAAAGGTCAAAAGAGTGTGACAAAGGCCATATATATCTGTTACAGTCCGTATCATCCTAACTGTCATCATCATCACTACTATTGTGAGTCTTAGTCCATTCCCTGTAGGCCTGTCTTTTCTGAAAGCATGGTAAGGGAAGAAGAAAGCAGAAGTATTAGTTTGGAAGTATTAGTTTGTCTGGCAAATTTGTTAATTAAAGCAAAATAAAACCCCAGAAGACAAAAAATTCTGAAGTGACATCCTAGTTTAGGACACAGTATGAGCACACGAAATCACTTATATCCTATTTCCTTTAATCAACATATACAATCTCTAAATCACTAAAAGAAGTTTTATTCCAATCTAATCTAGTAATCTGTTGAAAATGCTACAACACAGTGACTGCAGTGTGGCCAATCACCAGAGCTGTATGCACAGAAATAATATAGAAGAGGAGAATAATCTTCTTTCCCTCCATAAGAAAATATTATGCTATTCAAACTGCTTCAGATAGGGGACATGTAATACAGTGAGTCTCATGCAAAACAAAGAAATATCTTTAGCATCAGAAACATTAAGAACCAAAACCATTAGTACACTTGAGGGTAAAATAAGTTTAAGACATCAAACATACTATATAAGAAATTAATGCCTGAAAAAAAAAATACATAATTAATTATTTTCTGATTTGATTGTCTACAAGGAGAATTACAATCTTGTTTGGAGCTTCCAAAACATTTCTTCAAGAGTGCTTCTGCCTTAGAATTGTCAGTAGTGGAAACTAACATGAAACATACAATTTTTCAACTTTAGCTACTTTCAGTTGGTGGCTGCCATCACAAAACATGACAGACATTACACAAGGTAATGCCTTAATAAGTTGGATAATGGAAGGTGGTGGTACTGTACTCAACCAGACAACAGAGACAAATTAGAATTAAATACTACACTCCAGAATTTTTTAAAGGTTTCTCAGAAAAAAAACCAACAAAATGCAAACATGTAAAAATTTAAGAAGCAAAAGTGATACAAAGTCATTAGAGAAGTCTGCACATTAGAGCTGACTCTGTTGGCTTGCTAGTGTTTGTTTTAGTGGTACACTTTAAAACAGAAAACGGGATGTTTTGGAATTTGTTTTCTTACCAAAAAAAAAGGAGAAAGATTAGAACGTAAGTTTATGTCCTTCATCAGTAGTAGCTTCTAACTATGCTCTAGTTAAGGTAATACTGCTTTATAACACTAGCTTTAAATTGGAAAGCACAGCTTAAAGCTACCTCATTAGAAGACAGGCAGAGGCATACTATTTATTATCAAAGAACCTTCACAGTCTGCTGAACTAAATCACCAGTGAATGGTATCACGAACATAGCTGAGATGCCCCAAATAGGACAATCCTCTTCTACCAGGCAACAAAGGACAGACTAATGAAACGCAGAAGAAACAGAAACAACCAGATCGGAACTCAACATGAAACAAACAGCTGTGGCAATTCTCAAAATAGTCTAAAAATCCTCTCCAAAGGCTACTTCATTCTTATTTGCTTCTCCAAAAAGGTTATTTCTGTATGAATTCTCCAACATTTCCCTGGCACACTGTGAATCCTTCAATGTGTATTTTAAACATTCTGTTTACATTCATGCAATCACTAATTACTACTTTATTTCTTATGTTTGAGTATTTCTAAAATGCAGTTTTGCTTCTAACAGAGAAAAAAATAGAAACTTTGTAAGCTGCATAACAGTTCAGATTATTTCCACTGATATCTGAGTAAAATTTGCTTAAATGGCAGCTGAATTAAGCAATAACTGTGGCTCAGCACGCTCTTCATATAAACAGTATTCCACTTCAAAACTGTTTATGTTCTTTCAATGGCTGTAGTATGACATAAATACAGCTATTTGAAGTGTGTTTAAAATGCTGTTTTACATAAAATTGAGATTAAAATGTCACTGTTTAAAATGCGTATTATAAGATTACTGAGAAAAGTATCTTTGTGTTTATAATCACTGTTTATCAAAAATAAAAATTAAAGACATAAACCCTTTTAATTAAACATACAAACCTTTTTCTTCTTTCAAAATGCTCTGTGTCTTGCACAAACCTCTAGAGATATACTGGTACAAATTATGGTGTCTTTCTTTAAAGTTGTATCACAGAAAGTGAAGAAAGAATCACCGAAGTGGTCATAACTCTAAGAGATTAAATGGAACTCCTTGCCTACTGAGTTAATGGCTAAGGGGTTGTAGGGAATTTAAGAAAAGGGAAATTCTGTAAAATATTTATTTCAACATATGATGAGTTAAAATGTACATCAAATTATCTTTGTTTTCTTCACCTGTAACATTTGACTTCCGGCTCCATCTCTTAATCTGTAAGGTCTAATAACTCCATCTTCACCAAAGAAGCGAGGTGGGCGCAGGCTTATCACATCTTCTGACGAATCTGCAACTCTGACAATAAAGCAGTGAATTTAAGGTATGTGTCAATAGCTCTACTCAGCTATATTATTTAGCAAAGGCTCTAAATTATTTTAAATACAAATTAAATTCCAGTACTAGTACAGCAACTCTTGTTGCCTATATATGTACTTTTGCATATGAATAGACACTGAGTAGATATTCTATGAAACAGTAACACATTTTACTCAGAAATCTATTTCAGAGAATGATTATTAGAAAATTAGACGGCACAGGGCAGAACACACCTGCAATACATAATTAGTGTCTAAGTACCGTACCTCAAAACTTCAAAATTAAAGACATCTGTGCCATACAGAACTTCTGCTCTGATATTTTTCTTGCATTTCTCTGATAAAGAACTTAAAGTGGAAAAATAAAAAAGACTGGCAGTCTTATGGAAGCAAAAGTGTTCCAGCTTGCTACAAAGAACAGGGGCATTAAACAGCTGTATTCAGATGAAGCTACAAAATGCCCCCTCAAAACACCTTCTCCTACTTCTTTACACATTACAGTGTGAGATAATCAACAGCAACGTGTTTATTAAAGTGAGACTCTCACAGTATTCAATATGCAGTCCTAACACAGTTCCCAGTCTGAACAACAGAACAGATCCTGGCATGACCTGGCAGTCTTGGAACTCATATAGTAGCAATAATATAAAAAGTAAGTTTTGACGCAGCTGAGAAGTCCTTTTTTTCCTGTATATTTGGGGTAAAAGGAAAAAATCAGCAATTGGAGGAAGTCTGATTGCTGAGGCTTTTAAACTAGCTTCTTTGGTAATACTAGGAATACCTGAGATTTGATGTTGTGGTTTTTATGCTATCAATGGGTATTTTTTAAAGAGCCACGTATTTATTATATAAATAACAATATGGATAAGATTTTTTTCTAGCTCATCTGTATTAATGACAAAGTTGAGAGTTCCAGAAACATTGACACAGAAGCGATATAAAGACACAACATACCACTGCTACTACTATTGTGTTTCATGCCATACATAATTCTTCATACTTACTTTTTAATACCCTGAAATGTGCTGCTTGCCATGTCTATGATTCCTCCAGTAGGCCTAGCTACTGCTCCCACTAAGCCTTTTCCAACACCTTTGAAAAAACCAGCTGCTCCTTCTTTCTGAGCTCCTAAAAGGATTAAGTTATATATATTATTAAGTTTTATAATATATATATTATTAAGTTTTATAATTAAATCATTATAAAACACTTCTGAGTTTTTCTTACAATCTTAACAAACTTAATTACCATTTAATTACAAATCTTATTTGATATGCAACTACATAGTCTCCTCCACACAAAGTTCACGTAAACAACATTTAAACTAGAAGTCAGTAGGAATACAAAATGTTTATAAAAAGTTTTATAACTCAGATTTACAATATCTCATCAAATATCAAGAATTTACCATCATATGAACAGTTAATGCATCAGAAGACTTGAACTTACCTCTTATTGGTTTTGTAACTATTCCTGTTATGCCACTGACAAAACCCTACCAAGAGAAACAAGAGACATTACAAATATGCTTTCAGATTATATTTTTCATTTTTTACATTTTTCTTATTACTTCGTTAGTGAGTAGCCTCAAAGTATGTTTTGGAGTATTTTAAAATTCACTACAAGTTAACAGAATTAGAGGCACCTGCTTCACAGTTCCTACCTTCTCTTCTATCCTCATATATTTTCCTTTAAAACTATCACTCAATTGTGGCCATATATTTGCAAAGCCAGGATTAAAATAAAGAGTAACAAGTCTCTGGTGACTATGGCAGCCTCTATATTTCTTACTCTTGCCTGCATAAAATCCATTAATCTTTTCATAGTTTTTTTTTCTCCTTACAGAAACTAATCCTTTTCCACCACGAGTGATACCCTCTCTCAGACCAGTGGGCTGTTTATTCATGGCTTCTCTCCTTTTCTGCTGGTAATCCTGATCCATAGTTATCGCAGCTACTCCTTTTGCCATAGCACCAGTGATTCTCGATGCAGCACCAGCTAATCCACCTATTGGAAAATAAAACAAAGTAAAATGCCAATGCAATTTACAATTACACACCTATATTGCTTACTATTAAGTATACTACCATCATAAGGCTGAAACTTACCAACAGCTCCCCCTACTAGTGCTTTAAGTCCTAGTGCCATTCCTTCTATAAATTCTTCAGGACCCTGGATGGCTCCCTAAGAAAAAAAAGGGATGCATTTATGTTAAGCTTCAAATAGTATGCGTTACATATTTTTACATCTTACGTTTCTATTGGAATTTATAGATAACAAAGAGAACAAGAGAACAAGACCAAGTGAGAAAGTACGAAAGTGCCCACAAGAGCACCTGTGAGAGACAGAAAGACTATTTTAGAATAGTCATTCCCTAAAGTCTGCTTATTTTAAGGCAAATGGAAAAAAAGCAGATTTATTTTAAAATAAGCACCATGAGGAACAGTCTTTTGTGAATTAAGTTAAATGTATGACTCTCTCCTTTTTATCTCTTGAGTTTTCCGGTAACTTTTCCTTGTACTTTCACTGTAAATTTTCAATTCTAAATCTAAATTTAAAACCAAAAAAGGTATTAATATATCAACATTTTCAATATAATTCTTATCTATCTACTTGTGCTACATTTCATAAGAAGGCACCAGAGATTTTCACCTGGTAAGGTTCATAGAAGAATGCTTCTACGCCTTCAGACAAGCCTCTTATGAATCCAAATGGATTACCCAAGACATCAAGGCCAAGAATAAGAACATACATCTGTTTAATAGCCTAAAATAAAAATAGTTATTAGTAAAAATATTTCAGAAATTACACTAAAACAAAGGCAAACAGTGTAGTATACCCAGATCAAAAAAAAAGTGAAAGCAACATGAGTTTAATATAAAAAACTCAAAATTATTTGGAACAGTAGAAGTAGTTGTATTAAAAAGGATCTTAATATGATTTACTCACTGTAAGTCAGCCAAACAAATGTTACTTCTTACAAGCATTTCAGAAATAACTGACATTACTGTTCTTGAGATTTTACAAAGCAAGCACATTACCTAGATTTCTCTCATACTACAGGACAAAATTTGGTCCGTTTGCATATGCTGAGAAAATTTTGTTGACTGTCACTGCAAAACGTTATAACTACATCTGTATGACGTGTAATTTGATTTTAAAAAAGGCTGAGCATCTCCTAGGAGATTTCAAATTTTCCTTCCATTAAAAGGAAGAGTCAGAGAACAATGGATAACACATTTCCCAATGAAAACCCTGTATAGGTTTTTTCTCCTTTAAAGATGGACAGAGCACTAAATTAGTATGTCCAAAGAATCCCTTATTATTAATGAAGGATGGATAGAAGACGGCTAATTCTTTTATGCAAAAGCAAGTCTGCTGGATTCTCTCCACTGGATGACAGGACCTTAACTGTACACAAAGGCCAAACAGGGATCATAATTCATATACTACTAAGTCCAAGAAAAAGCATTAATATTTTGATGCCAATTCTGCTCTGTCAGAGCTGCGTTGTGTTTGCTTCCACTATCCATTCCAGAAAGTTGTTTTATTATCCGTGCCACTTTTCCTCTAGTCATAATTTGGAAATGGTACTCACCCCCAAAATAAAGGCAATAGAATCCAGCTGATGAGTAATTGTTTTGTATGTGTTTATGTATTTAGCCTTTGTACAAACATACAAGGCTGAAAGTAATTTTATTGATTTTCATAGAACCAAGTGCACAATAACACTTTCAAAATATAAATTTACTGAAATACTGAAATTTAGTTATTCTAACCTGTTTTGAATAATGCCTTACAACTGCCGACTGGAGCTGTTGTGTAGTACAGAAATGATAGCAGAGTTCAAAGAATGCCAGCCTAAAAAAAAAGAAAAGAGAAAAAGTCCTTATTATGCAGAGCAAAATAAAATCCAACATATGTGGTATCAATTCATTCTTTCTTTCTTCTTTGTTACTGTCTTCTCCACCCGTACTGAGTGAAAAGCTTAAGTGTAACTAAAGAATAAAAATGAGATTAGGAAATAACATGGTTGGTTATTGGAAGTGCTATATTTCTATATGTATAATCTTTTGGACTATTGAAAAATTGAGATAAGACATTTCTAATCTTGACTGAAATCAGACTGACTTCATAACAGACAACATAAATACACCATGTAGGGCGATGAAAAACCACTGACATTTAAAGCCAAACTGAATAACTGGAACTACCTTTAAGAAAACAAGAACTTGAAATTGCTTACTCATGTTTTCAGATAAGGTCACCAGAATCTTTTAGCTATAATTTAGGTTATTAGCTTGTTTCAAAAACAACAAATACCCAAAATCAAAGCAAACTGAAAATGATAACATAGCATGGTGTAGAAGCAAGAATGAGAAGCAAAAGCCTTGAAAACAAATTATTATTAACACAAGTTTTACTGGTGCTAAATAAACACTGTTACATGTATACAAGAAAAACCCCACCTGTGAAGACGTGAGTATTTGTTTCACAGAAATTAAGGTGACAGTCTCAAAATAGAAAAACATTCAGGAAAATTGCTCAAATGGCAGAAGTGTGTTCAGCAGTTTGCAAAATCAGACGAGAATAAGTTATACCTGTTTCCGATTCTCTGAAGACACCACTATGTGTCATTCATTAATTTATGGTATAACAGAGCTTATCTATAGCTCATTTCAAAGATACATAGCTCATCTTGCAGAATCATCGTCACTTAATTCACAGCTCTATAGTGACTTCATAACTGTTAAAATTAATCTTTTATTAGAACTTGAAGCCCATTTATTTCATCCTAACTTGGCCATGTAATTTTTCTCGTCAAATATGAAAAAATATTTAAAAAAAAAAAAAAAAAAAAGCTTTTGTTTACTTTGTTATCTTAACATGTAAAGGGCATTTTACTTTTGTCAAATTCTGAGCAGCTTTTTTAATGAAACAACTGGAGACATACCAATGAACATCTAAATGAAGATACACTGAAACAGCTGCTAAATATACATGGGATGAGTTAGGCTAAGCTGTTTACATAAAGCTAGTCAAGCATTTCCTGGAATAACCTGTTCTAATAGCAGACCATTTCTAACATCTCATCAGATACTGTAAAGAGGTGAAACTCGAACTGTTCTTTGATCTATTTCCCATGGGATGGAGGGGAGATTCTCTTATTAAGAACTGTTATAGAGCCTATAAAGTACCATCACAGCTTTAACAATATCAGTTACACAAATAATCAAAAAATGAAGACCAGTAAGCTAAAAATGCATGAGTTAGATTTGGGTAGTAATGCTGGCTGCGTATGTTTTTTAGAAATTACCTCATTCCTCAACCCACAACACACTGTCTGCACACAAACTATAGCATTTTGCAAGGATCTCTTAAATAATAGAAAGAATTACTGTATATGAAGGAAGTAATGGATAGAAACAAAATAATGAACTTTTAATATAAATATTTAATAAATGCTAATGTAAACCCCAAATAATTTAGTGGTTACAATGAAAGCACTTTTCCAGGACATTTTTATTTTATTTTTGATCACCTCTATGTTTCCTCATTTCCAGTGCCTAACATACTGCAGGAGTATACTGCATCTCTTCAGCTAGAAAGCAAACACAAGCTGTACTGTGAAAAAGGTATACCTTAATTGGAGAGATATGAAAGTATTCATACAAGCTGATTTGTGATGTATCCATTGATGACACACTCATCAGTTCTTCTTGAAGAGATTCGACATCCTTTTTGAAAAGTTCTAGCTGTGAATGCATTTTCAAAAAAATATTACTTTAAAATTTAGAGTATATAAAACTACCATGTATTTGTCACTGAGATGCAATACATTAACTAATACTACTTACACTTTCCTGACCTTTTTTACTTAAAGAGTCAACATTTTACAGGACTTTTAACTAGAGTTTGTTTGCTGCCTTTTTCTGTATGAAGAGGAGGAAACATGTATAAAAAGACAATCCAACATACATCTATTTAACAGTAAAAAAAAAAAAAAAGATCTATTTTTATGAAAGTTCAAATATCAAATATTTTCAAGTAAAGTTGGACAATTTTCACGTCGGTGAAACAAAGGGCATACATATATACCCTTTTGAACACATAATATAGCGCATATGTTTTTAAATACAAAAAAGTAGACTAAAGACTATTTTCTGTCTTATAGAAACTAGACTTTACATACTCTGAGAAGACCTCTATCTAGCCCTTTTCTCTTTTCTCCTTCAAAAGACAGAGTTTCTTTACAACAGTTTTTGAAGAATTGGCCAAGTACAAAAAACATTTTAAGATTTTTAAATAATAAAAATTCTAAAATTATAGTCAGAAAAGACTTAACCAGTCAAAGAAAATGAAGTTGTAGCTGAAAATAATGTGAGAGGTCCTTTCAGAACAGTAGACCTAGGTACCACCAAGCTACTTAAACAAGCTAAGCATTCAAGGCACTAAATATTAAGTAGGGATCAAATCCTACAATTATGCCTTTCAATTCCACTACAAATGAAATTGTAGAAGAGGGCCTCCTCTAATCTCTGGATTCAGTGATTCGTCTCACAATGCTGATCTCAAATCATTCATCTTTCCACTGGGAGGGGAAAGAGAGAATAAAATACAACAATGTATTTTTTTCCACTACACAACCATGCATCGAAAATAAACATAATTTTTCAAACTAGCGTAACAATCTAGAATTCACAGGTACACCTGGTATCAACAGATGTAATGGACTGTATGCCCTAGCACACTGCTGGGAACCACCAGTTTAGACTACATATTCCCACATAGAAAATCACAGCAACAGGAAAGAAAGACAGGACTAGGAAGAATCAACAAGATCTTCATGCCTGATAACCCCAAACTCAAGGTAACCACATAAGTGTTCTGTGAACTGGACAGTACATTTATTTTTCCTTTGTAACAGGCCAGAAAACAAGCTACAAAGAACCCACCAAAATCAGAATCTTCTTTTAAAAATTCAAAGCAAAGAACTCTGTATGCTTAAGAAACGAAAGTAGGAAACTAAGCGTATATTTAATACATTATACCATGCAAGAGTAGCAAACTTACTTAGATGAAAATATCTACTAAACTATAACCCATAGCAGACAATTCTTACATGAATTTATTCTGCTGTAACCTTACAAAATTGTAACAAGATTCCTATCTTTCTTGAAATGTTATTCCAGAAATCAATTGTCTTGCTGTCCCACACTTCCTTCTAATTTTCAATTTATATTTACACTGGAGCAGCTTTTTAATCTTTTCTCCTTATTTTAGTATAATCCCTGAGCAGTAATGCTTTTTTTAATCTCTGATGTGTAGATATGGGGAAATAAAAGCAAAGTAAGTTGCCTTTCTGTCATACCTTTCACTTGCCACAGTAAGACAATACTTTTTAATGGCCCATCAAAAAGGACCTTTTTGCTCCACTCATCCAGGCAGCTCTTTTATGCAAGTATTTTGGGTTCATTTTTCACTAGCAGCATTTTTGAGATACAGACAAAACTGATAGACTTTCTGCTAAATAATTTATTATCATTTCATTGTGTACTGACATTCAAATTTCAATACTTTTAACAAGAACAGCATGCCCAATATACATCAGAACTGCATTGTATCCGTACAGCTTATCACCTTTTTTGGTTTTCTCTGGCAAATCCAAGAAACTCTGGCTCCTCTGTTGTTTTATGGTTGTATCTGAAGTTTTCATTATTATTTCCCAAGCAGACTACCTTGCACTTCATATAATAATATTTTATTTTATTTCTACTGTTCTTAAGCACAAACCCCTCTCCTTCTCCCTGTCCAGTAATTCAATTCCCTCCCACTGCCCTCCCCTCTCCACTTAGTATCAACATGTCAACTACATCATCTTCCAATTTTATAACTTTGCATACAATTACTGAAGACACTTTCACTTTCTAATCAACCTCTCTCTCCACTCCTTTTACATTCTCTTGCTTTCATGGGCAGATAAGTTTCAGTGATTTCCTGGCCAAGATTTTCCTAGTTTGTTTTTGTTTTGTTTTTTTTTTTTAAAATAAGCCATGTTGAGGAGGGGAGTATTATTTTCACTTCCTTCCTGTCTTGGGTTCTTAATTAACTGATCCCTCAGGCATTAGTTAGACCAAAGAGTCTACAATAACATTAGTTTCATTCTTTTCAGGTGGTTTTGAACCCTTCTTTGCATAACATGCAAGATGAGGATAAAGGAAAGAGTTTACTGTTTGCCTCAGGCAACAGTAACTCTTAAAAACCTCACAGCTTCATATTAGTCCCAGACACAGCAATTAACCAGCGTTATGGACACAGAAGACCAAGTTGTTTTTTCTTTTTTTAAATACAAGTTGAATAATTACAAACTTCAAATCTATTTAACTTTAAAAAACAAAAGGTTTCTATTTCTTGGTCACTCGGCACATCAGTCTGTGTAAAGAATTCAACCAGTGCATACAGGAATCCAAGATCTAATCTGAGATCCATCTCTTGAATCAAGACCTTAAAATACCTACACATGAAACAAAAAACAATTATTAAGGTGTTTTACAAAAAAATGTAACATGTAAAACTTAATCTAGGGTAGTTAGGCCACTTATGTATTGACTTCAGGTACCTTTTTTTTTTTTTTTTTTTTTTTTTTTTTGGGGGGTTTCCCTTTTTTGGGTAAAAAGATTTTTCCTATGGTGGTAAAACTAAAAATCTGCCTTAAAAAGACACTTAAAAATCTCTGCTTTACTCTGCAATTATGTGGATAATAAAGGGGGCTGAGCTTTCATCTCTCTTTAAGTACTCCGATCTTTCTGTGAATGAGTTGGTGTGAAGTTATCTTGCATTATGTTTGCCCCATAATAATTTTAAGTTTAAAGCTTGATTAAATATAGTCAAGAGCAAAAGAGACTGTACATGTCAAAATACTTACTTAATATGAGATATTTGTGAATGTCCTGCGGTTCTCATAACAATACTGACATCAGTAAATGGTTTTGGTGCTATGAAGTTGCAAAATAAAAAGAGATCAGCACAGATTTTTGTATGATATACATACCTTTATATTTTTAATATGAAAATGTCATATATGTTCAGGATTTTCTCAATCCTGTGAAGTAGGATTACATAACAGATATGACTGGCAAACAACTAAGTCAGGGAAAAGAGCAGGAACAGAAAGGAATAGGAAGATAAGGATGAAATGAAACATCAAAATTCTATTTCACTGATCTCTGAAAATGTACCACTTTTAATTAAAAGCAAATTAATATTGATAAAATCTTAGACTTATATAATTTCCTTAGTCATGGAATAAGATTTTACAATGACTGATACAAAAATATAAACTAAATAAAAAAAGAATTCTGCAGATTTATGCACGTTAGCTTGAAATTGATCATAGAACAAACACCTGACACCTTATTAGCTTTTGGACAAAATTACAAGCAGTATTCTTTGTCTCAGTCCAGAATCCCTCCTGAGATTACACAGGTCTTTCAAGTGGCTTTGCCTCGAACGAGTTAATGGAAGACTGCAGTTCATCACATAGTATACTGACATTGAGCTCTATGCTCCAAACAATGGAGAAGTTGGAAGGCTACATAGAAAAAAGGCAAAATATAATTTGCCATCTGCAGAGCTTATAAATGGTGCCTCACATAGCAATTTTGAGTTTAGACTGGCACTGGCACACATTTCTTATTAGTTAAGATTATTTCAGATAGGTCACTAGGTCATCTGTTGCATGCAAGCAAAGAAAAAAAATTAAACATGATTAAGATAAATAATTTATTTGGAGCAGTAGGGAAAAATCAAATGACTAAAGATGAAAAGTGAAACCTCACTGCTCCAGAACTCCAAATGCAAGTAATACAGAAACAGTGCAACAGATTCACTACCATCAAGATAGGCAACAATCTGATCTTTTTTTATTTTCAGCAGGCAACTCTTCTCCTCTATTAGTCAGCATTAAGTTTTAGTTGTGGTCTGAATGCAACTGCCAAAAGCCCGTTTTAAGCTTGATCTAAATCTAACTTTCATGTTACACTCTCCAAGAGCACTGAATTAGTGTGCCAAAAAGAAGCACTCAAAAGGTACAATATCAATGGACGAAAAAAATTTTGTTTTCTTCTGACTTTTAACTGTTTAAATGGTTTTCTGTATTTCACCTTTGTAGAGAAAACTGCTTCCCTATCTCTAACATTAGTACTTGTGTTATCTGTAGTCAGTAAGCTTATACAGACTTCATCTGATAAAAGTGACATTGTTAACTTCAGTACAAGCAAGTTATCCTGTCATTTCATAATTAAGGATTACGTTAAACTAGAACAACAAACCTGAATCCAAGGTGATGGACTTTGGAGGTTTAATAGGATAGAACACAAAGGGAAATATGGCTCCAGGAATCTGGTTTTGTATCTAATAGGGGTAAGGACAGGACAAGGTGCAGCACATTAGCTTTTCAATAGTGAAATATTTTAAAAGCAGGGCAAACACAACAATTATGAACATTACCTGTAGCATTCCACTAATTCAAAAGCAGAAAAAAAGCCACTATTGTGGTCAAAATATCTCTATTTTCAAAATTAAATAATCCAGTTCAAATAGTCTAGAAAAGCTTCTCAAAGTTGATGGTAATAAATGGTCCATGGAATTTTTGCAAAGGATTTGTCTTTAAAAATTTGAACATATGCAAGACAACAAATTGTACCTATTTTTCTGTTGGTTGTAAAGAAAAGCCACAAGAAAAAGCATCAAAGATGAATGGTGTTTTTCCTGAACAATCATAGTTGTCTGGGTTTTTTTTCCAGAAGCATTCAACTAGTATTTCCAAAGACTGAGAAGCACTGATGTAAAAGCCAATTAGGATGAAAGTACAATTATAAATTCAATATGACAAATCCAAACAGTTCTAAAAATAAATCCAAGTTTCCACAAAAGTTGCTTTTTCCTAATAAATAACTCACTGTTTTTTGACGACTCACCTGTATCCTGTAAATTTGAATTCTGAAAGACTTCTGATGTGCAGATGAACTGTATTCCACTTTTAAAGCTGGCAGATAATTCCTTCTGATAGGAATCTCATTTGGTTGTTGAATTTTCATGTTCATTCCATTAGGAGTTAAACACACCTATTATATTATTAAAGAAATTTTGGTATGTTATGTGTTTCAAAAGACTGCTTTTTATAATATACTTTGAAATTTACACTGTTCATTAACATTGTAAAGATAGCTTGGCAGTAAAAATTTTGCAGTTTTTAAGTCAGATGTCATAACTTTACTTAAAACAATCAAATTTTGTCATAAATTTAAGTAAAACTACAAAATATTGCATTATTTGGGGGATTACTAGTGTTTAATACATGGCTTTCTAGAGGAAAGGCAGAGTGGTATAATATAACGGTCTATGACTAAGATAAAAATTGGCTCATTTACCTATACCACGTTCATTTACCTACAACACAATTGTAATTAGTTATCTAGAACTTATTTACAGACAAGAACAGCAGCATTTGGAGCATAAAGTGCTTCTGCATTCCAGAATAATTTCTGGAATTATTTTTTCAGACGTATGTAGTTGAATGACACAGTTGAATTATCCCACAATAAGGCACCTGAAAAATACAATTTTGTGCTAAAACAAACAAACCAACCAACCCCAAATTAACACCCTGCCCACCTCCCTGGTATAACAAATGAACCAAATGCAAAGCTTCTTTATTATAGCTTTATGCATATTTAGTCCCATGACCTGCAAAAATGTTACACTTCAATTTCAAAGTTCGAAGCTAACAACAAAAAGCCTAGAGCAAGCTTTCAAACATCTACGGATTTTTTTTTTTTTCCAAAGATATTGCTCTAGACAGAGATAAAGAAGGGTTTTCAAATGGATTAGGTAAATCAATCATCTCAATTTTCACTGGAAGTTTCTTCAAAGATAGCAAAATTGATACATTATCTTTTTCCTGTGTATACATGTAAACAATACAATTAGAGAACTATGAGTATTACCAAAACATTTGATTCCAACTCAATAATCTTATTTTCTGAAGGAGTTAGCTCACTGTAATCTTTGAATTCTTGCTCTAATTTATCAGTCTGCTTAACACTCATTGGTCTCCATCTTGACTTCTTCTTGGGTTTTGTCTCCCAAACTACATCAGAACTTTGAAAACAAAACAAAGCACCAAGAGAGAAGGATTAGCTCTTTTAAAACAAGTTCTACCTACCATAGTATGGCTTTTATTAGGTTGTAACTACAGTATGAGAAACCACATCATAAAGTACTACTGTAGTAAGTAAAAGTGACCCAAATCACCTACTGCCTTCTTGGTACTAAGTGGAAGCCAGTCTCTCCAATATAATACAAAAAAGAAAAGTTAACAGCAAGTCTGTATAACTTCCCACTTTGATGAAGATGGGTATGTAAGGATACTTAATCAGGAAGCTCAGTTTCAACAGTACTACCATCCATTATTCTACAATCTCAATGTAGTTTTCTGCATATACACCTGCATGTATTTTGGCATAGCTGAATTTACTAGCAATTGAGAACTTCAAGTCAAGACGAAATGCCTCCTGAACTGCCTCTTATTTTTGATAGCTAGTTTCTTCACTCTGTTGGTTTAAATCAACAGACAATGATTTTGGTTTACATGTTTCCTCTACCGAACTTATGGCGGGGGTTTTTGTTTTTGTTTGGTTTGGGGTTTTTTTTCTTTTAAAATGGTATCCTGAAATCAGTTCTTTTCTTTTGTCTCTTACTTTTATTATTAATAAAACAACAAAATAATTAATCATCCTTAAAGAGCACTGGACTCTTTTCTGCTTACTTACACTGCTTCTGTGAGAAGCTCTCGTATCTGATTTCACCTTACAGTCAAACTGAAGGCACATGATAGGGCACAAACCAGCACTATCACACAGATGGAAGGTATTTCTTCTTTCCACAAGTTACTCTATGGTCCACAAATACATAGCTTTCCAGACACAGCCCCCTAATCCAATCCCTTTTAGGTACATCTGTGTCTGTGTTCAGACAAATCCATGGCAGAACCACCAGAAAAAAAGCTAAAGGGCAAAACAACAGCTATAAAATAGACTAGTACCTTGAAATTGCTGGGAGTTTTCCCTTTTTTCCTCTCTTTTTTTTTTTTTTTCTTTTTTTTGCCCCTCTCTCAAACGTGCTGTGATCGCAGAACTGGCGTGGTGAAACATGTTTCTGCATCAAATTAGATACAAGCTGCCTTTTCCGTTCTTTTTATAATAGGACATTCACAAATGGGAACATTCTGCATAATAAGGCTTTCTTCACCATACTGGAGGAATAATCTCTTATCCTCAGAAAGAGCTTTCAGGAGTTTGACATCCACTCAGGGTTTAACAAGAAAACAACACCAACTATAAACACTGCTAGACTACCTGACTATGGATGACTGCTTGCAAAAAACACTGACTCAGTGAAATCTCAGCACTACTTTGAATCTAGGCAATTAGCTGCCACTTTTACTGGAGTGTGTTCACTGTCTACATAGTTATCAGAGCTCAGTTCCTCAGGTCAGGGTAAGCGTTGGGATTTTCTCTGTGAATGACAGATATGAATACGTGAAGTATATGTGTACGTCAAGTTTTTGCTTGTCAAGTTTTTGCTTGTTTGTTTTGCAGTGCGGTGCAAAGACTTAGTCAAGAGAAAAAAAAGTCACTCTAGCAACATAATTGTGACGAATACAAGGAAGTGTGTGGATTATGGCAATGATATACAAGTGTCCCTTGAGCATTCTAAAAAGCCCCTGTTTGAATATATGACAGCACATGTTCCTTAAGCATTACATAGTTTCTTTTCTGCTTCCCTCTGAAATGTTGTAGTAGAAAACCTAAAGTATTAGAGCCTTGGAGTCACCATAATTTCTCAATCAAAACTAAAAAGAACTACAAGCTGCTACTGCATCAGAATTTTCAACACAGAATTCAGCAATTTGTTTCTGTAACAAAGACAGAAAAATCCACTGACACAAACCACCCACAGACCTTACTTATTAAAACTCTATTATCGCTCCCCAAACTACAGGAAATACTTCTGTTCAATGTATTGGGAAGTTTGCCAAATACAGCAAGCATATGCATTAATGTAAAACAGAGTGAAAACATTTTTCTTTACAACAGGAAAACATAATGATTTAGTTCTAAATACTCTTATCCAGAGTTATTTTTCGTCTTCCATCGCACCCCAAAATGAAATTCAGTGAGTGAAAATACCTGAAGTTAAACATTTTAGACTGCTGCATAGAAAATAAGTTACCTTGTAATTCCAATATAGGACACCTCTTGCTTTGTATAATTATTAACCAACGAAATTCCAACATCTTGCAAAGACAGAATAATTTCTTGTTCTGCTAGTTCTGCCTTTACACTTTCATATGTCAATTTAAATACATTCTCATCTTCAGTGATCAGGACAATACGCTGCAAACCTTCAAAAAATGACACTAAATAGACCGCTTTTCTACTATCCAGGCTGAGTATTTCCATTTTGTCCTACGAACAAGAGAGGAAAAGTTTTTACAACTCTATTCATTGTTCTACTCCACAAGCAAATGCAGAAGTCTTAGCAACATGAACAACGATAGAAGACATTTTTTAAAGGTACAGAAAAATAATGAAATTTTTAATTATGACATTTTACAGCAGTCTCTCACATAAACACATGCTTTTGCTCTGAAGACAATGCTTATTAGCACAAGCTCCAGCAAATACCATTACTTTTATGTGTTTGACCCTCATATGAGATTGCAGATCATACTCATTACATACAGAATTTCATACATACACTGATGAACAGGATAATAAATTAGACAGCATTAAAAAGAGATTTAGATAATAAATGCACCTCTTTTGGGGTAATTTCCTCAGTTCTATTTCCACATTTCCATTTCAATTTTCTAGATCCTGCTGGGTCCGCCCAAGTATACAGTACTGCCTTATTTGGCTGAAGACAGTCTTCCAATTCACTGAGGGAGCTAGAACAAAGTAATACTAAATTAAAATGTCAATGAATATTTTGTGTCAATGACTTTTGCATTCTAGCATTTCGACATGAACACTTTAATTATTTTTTCAAATAATGAAAACTTAAAACATTGTGCACGAAAAAACATGTGCATGAAAGGAAAATTCAGGATTTGTGCTGCCTAACATTAATATTCCAAGAGAAGAAAAGTGTGTTCAAAAACTGTTGTTTAGGAATGGTTTCCCCTATATGATTTGCTGAAGGGAAAAAAGCACAGTGTTTAGTATCTGGATAGAGTCAATATTTTCAGACAGATTTTAAACTCCATTCCCCCTCACATACAGTTAAAAACTGGCAGACTTGTCTTCTACAGCTCTCTGAAAGGAGCCCACCCCAGGAAGGGAAGTGGAGAAGGAGGTGCTGATCTCTTCTCGATGGGATCCAGTGATAGGATGTGTGGGAATGGTTCAAAGCTGTGCCAGGAGAGGTTTAAACTGGACATTAGGAAGCATTTCTTTACCAAGAGGGTGGTCAACACTGGAACAGGCTTCCTAAAGAGGTGGCGGATGCCCCATGCCTGTCAGTGTTTAAGAGGCATTTGGGCAATGCCCTTAACAACATGCTTTAACTTTTGGTCAGCCCTGTATCGGTCAGGCAGTTGGACTAGATGATCATTGTAGGTCCCTTCCAACTGAAATATTCTATTCGATTCTATTCTCCATAGTTCATTACAAAAGTTACATAACAACTTAGTAAATTTACACTAGGGATGCCCAAAAGATAAAGCTAAAAAGATAAAACTTACTAATCTTTATAGATAAAAACCAAAGCAAACAATTGAAGGTATCCTTCAGACAAACAGGAACATGCAGCTGCAAGCTTAATTTGATTACCAGCTCTTCCACTTTTCAAGTAAAAATATTTAAACACTGCTCTGATTGACTGAAAGGAAAAAACAGTAGAGGCTGTTCAGCTTTTAAAAAGAAATAGGTCAAGAATGCTGCAGATATGCTTACACTTCTCAGCACTGCACAGTATCTGCATGCAGTAGCAAAGCATTGCAAAGACATTCCAGCTTGAGAACAGAACTGGTATAGCTGCATGGAGGTGCAGAAACAAATTTTCACTGATTGCAGATAATTCATATTTCTTAAAATAATCTTAGTTTTTGTCTGGCTTGATAAAATTTATGTAACTACCTACCCATTTTTCAGTCCATTCCCTCATCTCTCCCGTAACTTTTTAACCCATTCTTTCAGCTAAAGCTCAACTAAATATGATAGAATAGTAGAAGTCTCAAATCTAATTACATTTACAAGTCATTTGTTACTTATTCTGCACAGTCAGCACCTGCACAATTCCAGAAAAGCCAAGCACATCCTTTGCTCCCATCAGGAATGTGGAGGGCAAGGCCACAAAATTCATATAAAAAGAGATCAGAGAGCTTCTTTAGCTCACAAAACGGCTTCTTTACTTATTGAAACAGGCACCTAGCACTACATAACACTGCTCTGTTAACAACTCATTCTCCTCAATTTATAAAACAAGAGATTTTTGGGTGCTCTGACAAAATTAAACAGCAATTTCTTAAAAAATAGGCTTCTTAAGAAACAGGCATGCTTACAATACATGCAGTAACAGTTCACACGTCTCTATGCAGACATCCACACTAAAATTCTTACATACCTTTGTCCATACTCAATAATTTCCTCTTTAGTATGGTTTATCAACAGAAATGGAGCTGCGCCATCATGATAATTAGAAAAGGTAATTACTGTAGAATGTTCAGTCAGGTTAACATCCACTGTAATTCCTCCAAGCTATCAGATGTAAAAATTATAAAGTAAATAACAGTGGAATTAATTTCTAATAAAGCAAATGCAATTTAAGTATCTTGGAAAACTTTTACTCTCATAAGATAAAACCATCAAATAGTCAAACAAACAACCTGTTTTAATATATCTTTAAAATAGTTCCCTGATCTAACTACTAGGTAACAGGCATTGCACTTAGTAATCAAAACTATGGAGGAGTTCTGTACTGTCAAAATTTAGGCTGGTAGTAGAGGAATCATCCTTGAACCATTCATACGCATTAATGACCTCCAAAACGTTCTACTATTGAAAACACTCATATATTTAAAAACTATGACTAGATGAGTCTACATGCATCATAGAACTGAATTTAGTGGAGTCAAAGTTACTTTTCAAAGTAACATAGTGTTACTTTAGAACTGATGTAAATACTTCCCAGCCTCAGCTAGAGAACACTAGCAAAACAATCTGTTTCAGCTTCTACAAACCTGCTTCGCAGAGAAGCACTTAAAACACCTACTTATATCTGCGTGTACACACACAGGAAAGAGAGAGCATGAGAATGAGAATAATACACTTGCACGCACATAATCTTTTCCCCGGCTAAGGTTTTCCAATACTTGATTGTATGGGAAGACCAAAAGTTTTGAGAATGGATATGAAACTGTTACTTATGTTGTTTTATCTATTTTCCAGAGGCAACCATTTACCTTGTTGTCCAAATGCAGTAGCAGACAGTTTTCTTGCTTATCAAAATTTATCTTCTTTGGGGGGAGGTTAGAATTTTCAACTCTAACAAGCAGTTTGTTGGCATCATTTTCAGGCCAAAAAGGAATGCACTAGAAAAAAAAAATCAGATATTTTAAAGTAAGTGAGAAAACAAACTAGATGTTAAATGGCATTCACTTTAGCCCGAAGTTCACCTACTAAAATTCTACCCAAAAGTGTAGTGAGTTGGATCAGAAACTCTATTAAAAAACCTAAATGTAATTACTTACCTGAACACAATAAACTGAAAGGAAGTCAGAAATAATTCAGACTACAGTGAAGAAACCGAGGAGTTAAGGAGCTAAAAGTGAAAACATTAAGACTTCATATTCACATGAAGAAGTAGATTCAAAATGGATAATGTATATGAAATCCAGAGTATAAAGCTGGGCATGGCTACAACACTGAAATGGCCAAGCTTGTTACCAAAAAAAAAAAAAAAAAAAAAAAAAATCAATTGACAAAACTGTTCTTCCATTAAAAGACTTCTTGCCAAATAAGTATAAATTACAAATCAATCTTACAGTGACAATGACAAAAATAGGATATTAGCATAAATACACCCCATAGTAACTTGAGTAACCAGGACATCAGCATACTACCTGTTCTTTTGAAATACTTTATATATACATATATATATAATATACTTATATATATAATATAATTTATATGTATATATAAATATTATATATATATATAATACATGTACACATACATATACACACACATAATGTGGGTATAATACATATATCAATAAAATATGAAGCATTAGGCAGCTAAATCAGACAGCACGTTCTGCTATTCACATTCACGACTGAAATCACAGCCATTCTGGGTTTAAAAATCCCACAGACAATCTCTTTTCCATAGTTTACACACCAAATGGGTAAGACAAGGAGGCAGAGAAGACAGACGTTTTAATTGTAAGTAATGAAAAGTTTCCAACTAATTAAGAGAGTCCTGCCACAGGAACAAGCTATGATTAACAATAACTCTCAACCAGCAAAAGCCGCAATCTGTCTAGATAGACCAGTTTTCCTGTATTTCAAACTGTTCACCTGCAACACCCAAAACTTCAGGAGCATCTTTCTCCAACATAGCTTAAGGAATGAGATGTTTATATTTAACTGCATCTGAATCCTAGAATTAAATCTTTAGTGGTGAAAGACTAGTTCACCAACTTACCATGCCACTAAGTTCCCTTTCCCATTGTTTCTCACACCACAGGAAGCAGGAAGACAAAGGAAAAAAATACAGTTAAACAGCAAGATTGAAGGTGTTATCTACATCAATGTGTATCCTATGGAAAAAGGAAATTTAAATTGTGTTGTAAACTCGCATAAACCACAGCCAGTAAGTCTCAACATGGAAATTAAGAGAGCTCAAAGGAAATTCAAGGAGAATCAGTCAACAGTAAATGCAAGTTTAAAATCAAAACCAATATAAGTAAAAAGGATTGGCTAAACAAGAAGTTATAGAATCAACCACAGAGAACTGAAAAAAAAATTTTTGCAACAGTCTTTAGGCACAGAACGTGTCACACAATGATGCTGTTTCTTGGTCAACTGTCTTGTGCTATACCTAATTCAAAGGACTGTCCTTGGCAAGCCATTTCATAGTAATCACTGTCCAACAACTTCTATTACAACATTTGAAGAACAATGGATTTTTCTAAAAATACTAATTAAAGTTTCTGATAGATTGACCGCTTTCCAGACAGGGAACATGTCCAAGAGGAGATGGGTTCTATACAAGCATTGCTTTTTTCCGCTGAGAGGACAGGCTATCTGTCACTAAGAAAGAAGAATGGATAATAAAGAAAAGCAGCAGGAAGGACTCTGCTTAACTTGAAGCGACAAAAATAGGATGGGGGAGAGGGAGCAAGCAGAGATATGAATTAGCATATCAATAAGCTTGTTGGTTTTTTGAAGATCAACCTAATGTAAAAGAGTAAAGTGAGAAGTACTCAAAAAAATCACAGGCATTAATTAAAAAAAAAAAAAAATCTAGGTTAGCATAGTAGCAGAGTTTCATATCTCAAGAACAGGATCAGATGGGATCTTGTTCCTGGAAATCTGTCCTGCATGCCCAAAGATAGATCAATAGTGGCTGGACTCTGCCTAGATTTAGAAGGGATAGGAAACATACTGGACTGAGCAACAGGGTTACAAATGAACAACCTTGGCAGACTTAACTGTCACAGCACAGATTTTTTAGAGACTGTGTATCAAAAGGGAAAATATTGACACAGTGTGGAACGGCAAGCAATTTTAGGAGTGAAGTCTGGAATAATTTAGGAGGGGATACAGATTCCTCTGTTGACCATCTGATAAACTGCCATATCTAATCTTTCAAAAGATATTAGGAGTGATCCTAAAATCTACAAAGTCCTCCTTTGATACTTGATAACTGAAAGGAGACTAAGATCAATTCATACAATTATGAAACACCTGGGGACAAGCTAGAAAATTCTGTAAGGATATCAATAAAGCAGCCAACACAGGAAAACCACAGATTACATATGTAGCAATGTATTTGAACTACACATGGGCACCTTTGCCATTTCAGAACTTTATCAATGAACTAGATGAGGAATCATGCATGTAAAGAACCCAAAACCTACACAGAGTCAAACAAAAGTTTGGTTCAGAGGAACATCATAATATTAGGAAACAGAGCAAATGTGTAGGCTTATGGCAAACAGTCTATTCTTGAGTAAAAGCAAAGAAACTCTTTTGAAAATAATGATAAACATTATGGGAAGCTGAATGGACTTAAAGATCTAAACCTCATTGTGTACACCTAACAAAAATCACAATTGAACAATGACAACAAAGAGCAAGTAAGTAGTGTCAATTTCATAAAGTGAAATAATGATACTTCAATAGTATTTCTCTTCCATAATCATAAAAGATAAAATGCACACTTGGAGCATGTTGAAGGTACCAAAAATGTAACAAAAAGATCTGGTTACGAATCTGATTTAAAATATTCTTTTAACTTTGGTATTTTAGTTTGCAAGCATTTTTGGTAACCATTTGGAGTACCTACAACGCTAAAGAAAAGCGAGAGGGCCTCCAGCTGCACTATTTGTTAGGCTACACTCTGTCTCTGTTCTGGACATGCTCTTTTCAAGACTCATTGGAAGGGAAGGAGGGAGATTTCACTCTTCCCCAGAAGCATGGTTCACTTTCAGCTTTCATAGACCTCCAACACTACCCCAAAGAGGCATTGCTTTTCCTGCATGTCCTGAAGGAAGGCATGACGGCCTCAAAACTCAAAACACATACGAAAGATAATTGTGGGATACTGTACTGCAAACAGCCAAGCCGCATGTCCAGTCTGCAACAGTCTAGATGTCTGCAGCATAGACAAAAGCCCAAAAGCCACTTCCTCACCACTTGGCCTGGGGGCCAGCGATCCCTCTCTAGAAATGATGCATTAAGCACTAAAAAACTGCACAGAGACTAGTCCCAGATGAACAGATTGGAGCTATCTGAACTGATCCACATGAGGGATTTTCTTCCTATATGAAAGTGGCAAGACATGTACCAGGTCAGCCAAACCACTCTATCAGATACCACTGCAAAAACTGAACAGAAGTTTCAGTGCCACTGCACAGAGAGAGAGAATATAGTAACAGTACACGTCTTTTTCTCATACTATTTATGATGCAGGTAACAGAGAAAACATTCTAATTACAACGTAAACCAACTTTACAGTATGTCCTAAAGCAACACTGAGAAAAGGTAACAGGACACAGATAATTAATTGAAAAAGCACGATATATTCAGACATTGTCATTGAAACTATGCATGGCTCATATTTTCCATCAGTGAGTGTTCAAACCAATTTTTTTTTCCTTACAGAAACAACTCAGAATAGCTTCCTTTATAAGTTTACCTGTTGCAAGACAATGGGAATCCATTTTTCCTTGCCTTCTTCAGCTACTTCCAAAGTGTATTTGCTTCTATTCGAGATCATAAAAAATGGAGTGAAAGTTACAATTCTAGTAATATTAAAACTGCTGATGTTTATGGTGACACCAACCTGTGAATAGAAAGACATGGTTAGAAGTATACTGTTCTTTTCTTACCTCATTTATATCCCCTGAAAGTAATGAACTTGAAAGATTAATTTAACTCACTTGATATTCCTTTTTATGACTCTTGCATTTCACAGAACCATGACTTCCAACAGTGTCCAGTGAAAACTGATCAGACAGTTCACTGTCAGTTACCATAAGTTGCACCTATGAAGAAGGACCCTGAATTAATTTTTAACTTACAGACACTGACAACATTCAAAATCATATATAAAGTATGTGTGTGTGTATGTGTGTGTGTGTGTATATATATATATATACACACATACATAAGTGCATACTGGAAATACTGGTGTTTCTATTAAAAAGTCAAGACATAACAACTGCCAGTTATCACCTCGCAAAGATATTTTCTACCACCCTTAGTTATAAGCTATGTGGACTAAGCATTAGAAGTGTAAAATACTCCACAGGAAGCAACCACATAAGGATCCTTTCTGAAACTTATCACAATTAAAATCTCAAAGGCAAATCAACACAGTCTTGCAATCTCTCTCATATCATTCATCCATCAGTAATATTCAGCATTAAAAAACTCACATAGCAGACTCAAATGGTAAACTGCATCTTAACCTTAGCTTACTACCAATTACTAACCACCACTGCAAGCATTCATTTTTCAAGTACCACAGCTTTACATTTCTTACACAACTTCTATGTCTTATTTAGAATAAGGACCTTTATCGATGCAGCTTAAATGGAATAAAGGAAATTCTTTTATTTAGGAAGCCCTTCTCAGTGAGTTTTATTCCTCTCAAAGATGAGAATCTCTTTCTTAACAATACCTTTGACAATGTAAATTTCCCATCTCAAGCATATCTGACAACACTTATTTAAAATATTCTGTCTTTAGACAGAGATATTGTAGGTTTCATGCCCTTTACAGAGCATAGCATAGTGTAGATAACTTTAAAAATGTAAAAATGCTTACATAAAACAACATAGGGGAGTACAGAGCTATCAGGTTTTACGAAATATAATACCTTGTTATTTTGGAGGAAGTTTTTGGGCTGGAAAGAAAAAAGGAGTGGCTTTTTGTAATCCGGAGGATGCTTGCGGTGAATACCATCAGCTTTGTATTGCAACATTCGACCGGTTTTATTTACCATCCAGTACGGACTGTGAATTGCTATAACCATCTGCCCAGTTGTGTAGGTCACATGGACAGCAATATCCAATTCAGTCTTATCCAACTCCGTGATGCAGTAAAACGTCGTGAAGCTGATGTCCGGCAGATTGCTTTTTATATGGTACTCACTTTTCCAATTTTGATCAAGATAGTTAAGCAACTGCAAATCTAGTTTTGTTTGATCCAAGACTGCATTATGGATCTGGGCTGAACATCCTTCTTGTAGAGCGTCATATTTGTTCCCATTTCCCTTTAAAAAAAAATAAACCAAAAAGAAATAGCGTACATTTACATGAGTCACACTCAAAATTCCTATCAACTTTTATTTTCTACCTAGCTTTGAAAATTAAGATACAAGTTATTTAGGCAAAATTTTAAAATGCTTATTATGCTATTTAACTGTGTTACATTCTTAAACTTCTACCTTAATACAACATTTTACAGAAGAAAACCTATGCATGGTCATCAATATTTAACAAACACACACACACACAAAAATCTGTCACCACATTCAAATACATAAACATGCTTAAATGACAGACTTCCTCAACTCAGTATTTCTTTCACTAAATTGAAATTTGTAAGACATAGAAAAGAGTGTTACTTCCATACGTTTGATAGAGGCCATGGTCTCTAGCTCTAGTAATTGTGCATTTGTGACAAAATTTTATGATTAAATTCTACTATTTGGTCCAAATACTAAATATTAAGACTATCTGAAAAAAAAAAAAGTTCTGGTGTCTCCCATCTATATTTCTGTTGTCCTAAGTCTACATCTGTAAGCAGTGGGACACAACCATAGAAGATCCACAGAATGAAACATTTACTACTGAGAAACCAGTCTCCACACTGTACATGTTTTAGGTGTTTTACTTGAGACTGGCTCTCATCTGGCCCTGGAATTAATGCCTATTAAGAGTCAAAGTGCATCTAATCGTTTAATTTCATGTGAAAATAATATAAAGTCTGGCAGTAGGCTGCATTTCAAGCCAAATCCTGACAAAAAGGCAGGCCTGTGAGAATTCGTTAAAACCGTGCTACTGCTAAAAGTCAGTGACGTGACAGCGACAGCACGTAAAATGCTACTGTAAGCTGACCCACTTATGTCACTTGAGGCAGTCATAATTCACAGGAAAAACTAGACTGTTTAAGTAGTCACAGGCAGTGATTCTCACAGGGCTAAACTGGTACAGTGTAAGTTTTACTTTGCATACATATCTAAAGCATGACTTAGTACTACTGACTAATACCACCACTTTTCACATTCTGGTACTGTTTCATTTCTATAGATACAGACTTGCCCTTACATGATCTGTAAACTCGCTTCACATATACTGTAAGAGAAGCCCTTTCTTTTAATATCCAGTTATAAACATATTTCAAACAGCTGGTTGGCTTTCATATCATAGGTGTGAAACATCACAAAAAATTTAAACATTAAGGAATTACCTCTACAGAATAAGTAATTTGATAAGGAAGGAGATTGCGGAGAAGAACAGAAGGCCATAAATGAACAACATATGGAAAATCCCATTGATCTTCTGCACATAATGAAGATGTCAACGTGTCTTTTACAGGAACAATATTGATGATAAGTGAGTGGTTAGTTGACCTCACAGACTGGCATTTCCTTTGTAATAAACTGTCAACATTTTTCATAATTTCATCAAATGTAATTCCTTCACACATATCGTATTCTCCATTCACTCCATTTTCATTGGCTAGCGGTTGCAAACTCAGTACGGATCTGTAAATTAGAACGTTTGTTAAACATTCAATATGAGATTGAATTTTTCAATTATGAAAAAGTACTACGCAACACTAACGTTCTGGTATTATATGGATTTTGGAAGACTTCTGACCGTAATTCATTGCCTGCCTTTATCTTGCTTAAAGGAGGAAGCAAAAGGTGGTCTGGATCCCAAAAGTTCATGGAATTGTACCAGTTGGGGTTTTTTGTTCGATACCTCTGCATGCTTCCCTTGCAAACAAGGGACTATTGGAGATTCTTACGAAGAGGCAACTGAATTCCCTTACAAGTGCTGCTATATTCCTGTTCCGAGCAAAAGGTCTGGATAAACAATTCACCCCAATGACACATCTGCAGAAAGTGCCCTTCTTTCCAGTCATATAAAGAATTAAGTTTATGGATTATTTACACACATAGGTTTTGTAAGGCAACTGTTTTAATTCAATCAGCTGCTCCTTGACTGAAGATTTTTGTTAGTAAACATTTCCTGACTGCCTAGTGGAACTCACCCATATATCTGTGCAATGAATCAGAATGTCACTAAACCTTACTAAATATAATACAGATAGTTAGAAATATTAATGAACTTACATTATCTACAATAAAGTGTAACTTATTAAACGAAAAAGATACACAGCTGTCACCTTAAAAAAATGGGGAGAGTGGGAGAAAACAGAAGGAAAAAGCCTCTGTAATCATAAAAAACAATCAAAGCAAACTTATCTGCCTAAAAGTTGGTGACAGTTCAGCTAAACTGTACATACAAGCTCATTGCAGGTTTTAAGTGTGTATTAGCTTGAAGGTGCTAATAGCATAGCTACGCTGGAAGCCAAGTCTTTCTAAGGTTGACAAGTCTTTTCCTACATCTGCAATAGAGTTTAAGTGTATTAGTTTCAGTTTTTTACTTCAGAATCACAAAAAACAAAGATGCCTTTTTAAAAAAAAAAAAAAAAAAAAAAGCTGTAAAGACATCACTTCACTAAGAAAAAAAGTCTGTACTGTGTGGGTAACAGTCACTGTGTTCCAGAAGCACCTGGGCTCAGATTCTTAAAGTAACTTAGCTAATTTGTTTGGTAAAATGGATTTCAAAAGATTTCCATTTCAAGAATTAAACAGTATTCTGTTTAAGTCAGCCTAGATGCTCTGAGAAGATCCTACCCAACAATGATAGTACAGTATTAATTACAGTATTAGGTAGCAAAGGGAAAAAAAAAAGTTAGCGTACTTGTATAGATACGATAATCAACAATATATAAACATAATCCATGATAAAAGAACAATGCAATAAAGTACCTGTAAGAGGACAATGGTATGCTGAATTCATTTTCTGGTGAAGCAGTCCCTAAACATCTTCCTTCATCAAAAATATTTAACGGGATTGAAAAATGATTCCTTATCTATGTGAAATAAAAATCCAGCAACACACATTAGGAAAAACTTGAAAGGTAAAATGTTTTGAGCCTAATAGAGCACAGCGTGAAAACTCTCTCATGATCATTTCACCCATTTACCATTCAAGGTCAGGTATTTCAAAAGAACTGTCTCTAATACCTTAATGATTTGGTTGTACAATTTAATGCTATATTTTAATTATTAAATTAATACATTAGCTGTAAAACTCTTTTCAAGGAGAAACATAAAGCCCTATAAAACCAAAGACAAGTAAATCTGAACTATATAATAACTTTCCAAAGAACTTTCTCCTAAAACTGTAACAGATACAGGGGCGTGTGTGTCAAAATTCATACGGCAGAAAACACAAGGGAAGTCAAATATTTATTTAAGGTTAAACCATCGATGCCCATTATAATTTGGGGGGCATACAGTTCTCTTGTTCTTTGCAAACATTATCTTTTTTATTTCAGGGTAAATTTAATGGCATTATTAGCTCTGGAAAAATATATTTCACTTAAGGAAGAATAAAACAGTAAATCTGGTTATTAACCAAGTCATAAACTACTTTGGGCAAAAGCAGCAAGTGAAATGTAACAGGGACACGATCACTATAGAACACTAATATCTGGACGATCGCTGTATTTGTAAACTATGTAATGTCTAGCAAAAATACTCTTCAATCAAAAAAGATATATGCTCAAAGGGCTCACTCTTCTGCTGACTTGGTACTAAATTTGAAATTCATGAATCAATGGTACAGGATGAAGAAAAATAATCTGATAAAAGGATAACCTTGCAGAACCAAGGTAAGGTTAAGAGAGGTTTAATCACTTCACACAAAGCAAATAGTTCAACAAGACTGAAATTAGAGCTAGTATTAGAAAACATTACTGATGAATTATCCTGATCTAAAATCTGGTCTATTTCCACTCCCACCCCACTCTCTGTCACTTCTCTTCTAAACTGCCTTATACTACACAACAGCCAAGTGATATGAATTCTTCAGATAAATTTTTAAAATACATTTTTTTAAATGTTTATTTAAAGACTACAGATCATTTTCATTGATTAGAAAATTAAAATCATAATGAAATTATAATGTATGGAAATATAATAACCTGAATAGGAGAACGTATAGTTATCATCTTGCTTCCTTCAACAGTATCAATTTGGCAGACAATGGACCTTTCAACACCTGATTCCTCGTGTCTCACTCTGTAAATACATCGACCCACTTTTGTCAATGGAATCTTTTCCACAGTGGAATGATTATGTGGACCTAGAATTCACAAGATGAGAAATGGAAGATTCAAAAGGAGCAGAAAGATATATTCGAAATACAGAAATATGCATTCAATAGAATTTTCTGTATCATTCAATCTATTAAAAGCAAAAATTTAAAGTGGATGAAAAAGTACAATCACCACTTTTAATATGACAACCTTGCAGTGTTACTACAGAAACAGCAAAGATTCTTTTTTCGCCACACTAAAGGGAGTAGATTAGTCCATCACTCAAATATTTAAGTGCGTTTTGCCACTGCAAATAAAATTAGTGCCTAATGAGAAATGCTTACAAGATGTAATGGCTTATTAACAAGGTACAGCTCATCTATATTGCAAAAACAATTCAACTAATAAATCACATGGTCAAGACCAGTTTGAAAAATCAGTTTTGAAAAACTGCCAATTGTTACAATAAATCAACTTAAATTGTTAACATATACACCATTAAAATACTAAAAATAAATTTTACTTCTAGCTTTAACTGTGTTTTACTTTAAATTATTTAAAACAATCTTTTCTTAAAAACATCCCCTTTAAGAGTAACTTCTATGAACACAAATATATACAAGCCTCAGAATTCTACAAAAAAATTATTTTGGGTGGCTTAATTCTGCATTAATGTGTGAATACAAACAAAAATATCTGGTTGCAGTAAAATTATGAAGTTAGTTACCTAAATAATTTATCACAGTAGAAAATTTATGCTACAAAAATTAACACGCATGATACATATAACATTTATCTGTGAAGACTAAAGCAGGATTTCAAATACTGCCACGCATTTAGAATCCAAAGAAACACTCCTTTCATGTTATGTAGTCCCCAATACTTATTGACCTGTACAAGATGCAGTATTATGCATCATGCACTATTGATAAAAACAGAAGATGTATGAACTTTGGAACTTACAGATCTGAATGTAAAACCTCTTGCTGCTTAGACTTGTCATTGCTGTGAACTGGTCACTCTCACTTTTAGTTCTAACAAATTCCATATTTAAATTCTCTCCATCTCTTAAATGAAATATTTTTGCTCCAAATTCAACATTAAGGACACTAAAGGAATCGCTAGGCGAGACAGTGATGGGAAGTCCTAAAGAATTTATTATTACAAATGGTGCTCGGTCTTTTTTGAAGATGTCTGAAGTCTGACTAGCTGCTTCAGCAAATGCCTAGGAAGCAAAGCATAGATACAAAACACAAATATAGTGAGTAAGACTTCATCAAGACGATTTGTGCAAACGTTGATTTAACAACTCTGACATTGCCTAGTTAAGTAATCTTTCTTACCGTGCCCAAGTTACTCAACATTTGTAGCCCACATTTGGATAGTGTAATGTTTAGCTGGTCTTTTGAGGAAACATTTATTACTGTTTTATATTCTGGAACTTTGTAGTTTTCTTCTTCTTCTGCATCTGATTCAACCAACGCTTTTTTAGCCTTCTTCTTCATCTGAAAGGAGATTTTTAAAGAATTCTTATCTGGCCACTCCTTCTGCAGAAGTACGTTTCACCTCAAGACTCTTTTTCTATCCCTTTCCCATGTCTATGTCCTGCCATGGTTTTCCAACTTAAAAAACATGGTTTTCCTTGTTCATGTTTTTATTCTCAAATAAAAGCAAAAGAAGGAGAGAATAAAGAAGGCAAGAGGCAAAAGATATATTTCAGAAGTCAATGAAATTCCAATAACAATAGCTAAACTTATGATTATTCAAAAATAAAGAACATACGCTTATATACTAACTAACATATCCAGTAAGTGCCGTGCGAAAACATTAATCTTAGCATATCCAAGAACACTGTGTAAAAACTATTACACATAATTGATTTCTTATTCTTAAAACAGTAACCCCAAATTTAGTCTTTATATGCTTCCAAACCAAATACTTATTTTTTATGTTTTCATTTGCTTGAAGGAAAAAAATAAAAATCACATGCAATATATTTTCCTGGCTTTCAACATTTCGGGAAATTATGCATTTCCAAGTGTTATATTTCAAATCTGGGCAAGAATATATGAGATTTGACTCACTATCTTCTACCTTTCTCCTGCATTAGGTCTCATACCTCTCTAGAAAATTCTTAGGAATATTTTTAACAGCAATTTCTTAATTGCAATATCTCAGTCCACAATCTTTACCCTTCTGAGGCCATTGCTGTAGCAAGTTGTTTGATAATGACAGTCCTAGGAAAAGCGCATTCCATTCTAAGAACCTCTCAGGCTAAAAATACTTGAAAAGTTTTGAAAAAAAAAATCAGAAAACGATGCAATAAAATAGTTAAGACAGAAGGCACCTCCCTTCCTTAGATAAATGCTTATCTACTTTGAGATTAAAATCTGGACTATTTCCTTATGAAAGACACAACTGAAGTGGTAACAGCACTATTCCCACAGTGCACTTTGTGCTAGTCAGTAACAGGTATCATTATTTCGAATAAATTTCTGCTACAGATACTACTGTGGAACTAGATGGGTGGTCTATCTTTCCAAATCACTGAATGCATCATTAGCATATGACCTAACTTTAGAGAAACTGATATAAAGCCATTATGATTATCTAGTGCAACTGGAATCAAATCTTCTTGTCACCTGAAAGACTATTTAAAAGATCTGAGAGTCTGGATCTTCATGCATGCAAGATCTGGCTTCATTCACTAATTGGGAAAAAAAGTCTCAGTAACCAACAAGAAAGAACAAAATTGTTAGATTAGTCTCAGCAATGAAAGGTGCAGAGCATTTTTTTTTTCTAAGGTATTGAAATGGAAGATTTGAGTTCAGCTCTGGAAAATATACCTTGATATCAAGAATCCATGGTTTAAATAAATCAGTCTTCTCAACTTCTAGTGGTTCAAGCAAGGGTTCCCACACCCCAAACATCTCATTAAAATAGTGTACCTATTGAAATGCAGAAGTAGGAAATTATATACAACTGTTAAATCAATGAAAGCTCTAGAGATTTTAAAAGACTAAAAATTCTGATTTACAAATATATTAATTACTTTGGTAACATAAAACATTTATAATTGGATTGCCTTTCAGCTCCCACCATAAGATGAAGCAAATGCATTAGAGAAATAAACAAGGCAGCTAAGTCTCTACCGCAAAGACCCACTTTCAAATAAGTGGTTATAAGGTGTGTCATTTAAAATATCATTTTGGCTTGAACTGTAGGCACTGGAAGTCTAAAGCACTATAAATAAGGAAAAATCTACCTAAAACAACTACTGAATTTCATGTCACTAATTTCCAAATATGAACCAGTTTGTTGTTTCATGTACAATACTGGTACCACATAGTATTTTATAGAAATGACACATGAATATATTCTCCTGTAACCTTAAATTAAGATTGTCAAAAAGTTTTAGCCAGTTACTACTCCAAAATTTAATATTGATGCAACGGGTCTTTGGGAACTTGTATACAGTGTAACTGTGAGATTGTATAACACCAATTACTGCCATTAATACATTACATCTAATGCATTAGATTTTCATTTTAACGACTTTAACACCTCATACCCATCCTGCTCCCACAACATGTATCTGCAGGAGTTTAGCCATCAAATATAGATTCTTTTTATTGTCTAAATAACATAACAGGTTTAATATCTTAAGAAAATTTTTTCTTATGTAGGATTCCTCACCTCTAGCTCAAGACGAGAACGTAGGTTGATTAGAGTACTCCAGTTTTTGACTTCTCCAAGAAATGAAGACTTGGCTAAAAGCATTGGTACAGTTCGGTGCCCAACACCAGCTTCAAGTGTTAGAAAAACAGATTCTATACTCATTTTCAATGACTCTCCTGTGGGAACCAGTTCAGTGGTTGGATTTGTATCTTCATTTTCATTTGATTCTTCAAGAAACCACAGTTTTAGATTTTTTATATCTTTCTTATTCCACAAGTCTGGAGGAATTTGACTTATTTCTTCTGTTGTTTCTGCAGTTTGATAAAGGGCTGATGTAATAGTAATTACAGTGTTTATGATTATTGGTGAAACCTACAAATAAGAAGTTGAAATAATTGGAAATGAGAAGCTAGTACAGGAAACAGTCAGTCGCTTTCAGACACAAAATTATAATGAATATGTTACACTAACAAAACACTTCTGTTCTCTACAGGACTCTTACGTTTGAAAACTCATTCCTTTCCACAAGCTATAGTTCAACCTATTCAGATTTTCAACCCCTGCCTTTCCTCCAGATGGGAGCTTTCTAAACTACATCATCCAACACTCTATCTGAACACTTCAAAACCTATCTCTGCACATCAGGCCATTTTATAAAACACAAATTCCAAAACCAAAGCATTGTGACACAATTTTAAGTTCTCATTTTTGTTTATTTTCACATGCTAAACAGGTAGGTGACCTGATGAAGAACAGAAACAATTCCCCAATTCAGTCATTCCTGTTTTTATTTTTTTTAAGAAACATATCCCACAAGCAACTTCAAAGCCTCCTGAGCAGGAAGTAGTAGAGAACTAAAAACACAATAAAAGTCCACCTACTTTTATTGTTAGAGATTTAATCGTTAGATCAGCTGTCTGTGGATTAGTACCTGACTGTTTCATTTCAAAGAAGAAGTCACAAGGCTGTAATACCTATACAAAAGAGTATAACCACATGTTAAATAGGGAAAAAACATATTTTAAAAATCATATAGTTTTAAATACTACGCATCAAGAAAAAGTTACCATTATTTGGTTCTTCATAATTAAGAGTAATCTGAACACTAATAACGTGTTCAAACTTAAAGAAAAAACTATTAGAAGCACCACCTTAGCCATTCTCAATGTCTTCACCGCATCATCATGCCTGTGACTTGTGAGGAGAACTAGATTTTTCAGTTAAGAGCAACACAGCAAAAACAGTTACAGTTTTCCTGAATAAAAATATCACTGTTTGAGTCACAATCACTCAGTTCCAATTTTAATTTACAATCAGTCCTTGCATACTCGCACTTGCCAAGGTTTACCAAAACTAAATCTAAGGTACACTATAAACAAAACCATAGTGCTATGTGATTAATAAAGCACCCAGATGTAGTCAGACTCCACTGATACTGTATTGACAGGAAAATTTGCTCTCCAGTCCCTACTCGAGAAGATAAGTCTTTGAAAAATGGTAATTTCAAACTATATTGATTTTGCAATCTTTCCCGACATCCCTGTCCATATCTGAATCAGATGCTCGGGGCATAGAAACACCCTGAATCAGTTTTACAACACTTTTCCCAAGTGAGTTTGATCTAATAGAATTTTTTGTCCATATTATTATTTTATCCTCTGCTGCTCAAATTTTTTTTTTTCTTTCTTCTGTTTACAGCCAGGAATAAAAAAATAACATATTCTTCATTAGACCAAAGATACATGTGAAAAATGTACAGAAAGAACCTCATCACTTGTCCTACTTTAAATCCAGAGGCTAGTTTCCTGGGTATCTGGGGATATCTGTTGATCAGGAGGATTAATTCATCCATCACTAGTGTCCCCAAAGTTTAGGCAATATAAAATCTTCACATCAATACCAGCCTTCAGAAATCTTGTAATCTTCATATAAACTCATATCATACATTTTCTTTCTTGACTAAAGGAGGCCATGGAATGTCATCTGAATCTCTGTTTCTCTGATTATATTCCCAGACTCAAACCACATTGTTTACAGAAAACCTGGGTTCAGAGATTTCCTTATGTACATGTTTTCAAAAAGGGCAGTTTTGCTTCTACCTGAAGAGAATGTCTTCTTTTTTGACCTCTACTACTCTCTTGAGAACTTCCTGAATCTTTCAAAGAAGGTACTGTTTTAAGCATCAAAACTAAGGTCCTCCGCAGTTTTTTCCCTCTTTATAGCACAAGCATCCTGTCAGATACAGGTCTTTTTCTCTGTTTCTACAATCTGAGAAAAGAGATTCTGTAAGAGGGAAAGCTTGGTGTGAACCCTTCTAATTGCTTTCTACGAAGCTAGCCACATTTGTGCCACAGCTACAGAAATGGAAGTCAAGCAACTTTGCGTTCTGTTGTCGCTATCAGTGCAAGTGCATCAGTTTCTTCAATGACTAGACTGTCAACAGATTAATGCAATCGAAGACTGTGTCTTCCCCAGGAGTAAACTGAGCTGTTATGAAAGTATCTGATAAGGAGATGAAGTGGGAGTCCCAGTCCTTCGTGCTTATAGATTTGGTCTTTCATACATAGCTCCATAAAGTAAGAGGCATTAATGCAGAGCTGAAAAGACTCATTCTTCAAAATTCATCTGTGGTCTGAGGACACAGATAACAGTTGGATATACTGTCAGATTACATTTTTTCTCTGATGCAACAGTATCATTACAGAGTTAACTGAGGTATAGGCTGCTGTAGAGGCAGAAAAGCTGGAAGAAGCTCCAGGAGTCAATGCATTCCCACCTGGCCAGTAACTAACAAGTCTGATTCTGTTGCCAAATTATAAACAGGCAGTTTTAATATAATGGATCTATGGACCCCAACACAAAGGAATTTATGAACAGCATATCGTAAGTAATCTATTTCATAATACATACTTCCCATTCTGTCTGTGACCCTTTGTTATTCAGTTACATAGCTATTTAATGCAAAGTTTCAGACTGAAAGTATTCCAAATTTACTACATTGCATTTGGAATAGTGTACACTCATAAAATTCTATTTATTTGGCTTACATGGGATATAAGAGATGATTAACGTTTCACTCCTCTGGGCTTTTAATTTTAGCTTGTCATACAAAGCCACATGACAATGCTTTTGGCATATCAGACGAAACAGAATAAAATCAACAAAATAAGTTCGCGACAAAACTTTACTCATGTATCTGTAATATATATTCTAATGATGAAAGCTTCAGAAATAAGTAGTTGTTATAAATAATATTCAGAAATATACTACATTCTAGTAGTGTAAGTTACACAGCACCTTTTAAATACAAACTGGATGTTTGCAAACTCACCGTAGTAACATTCCCTTTCCTTTTTTCTGGAAGAAATGGGCATGCTTTCATTTGTATCTCTTTAACAGCAGCTGTCATGCTATACCTTTCAGGGCTATTTTTAATGAAGACCTCACACTGTGTTGTAACCACCAATGCAGGAGCATCGCTTCTTGTTAAATCGGCCACAAACACAATCTCTGGATTTTTAACAACAATGTTCATTTCCATTGTAGATACAGGCTGCACAGGTGCTTCAAAAATATAAATTAAAATCAGATTAATTGTTCAAAGATTAAATTGTCAGTACATCTCTCTTGTAACTTACAGAGAAGTTTTAAAGATTTAGTGATAAGATCTAGCATAACTGGTGTCAGAAAACATGTAGATCCCTGCAACTGACTTATTTCTAGGCTCCTCACCGGAGACACAAAACCATTAAAGCTCTAATTAAAGCACTAATTACTTTCATATACCACAAAAGATTCCACAAAGCTTCTTTGTCAAAATGGAAAGGACAACAGTTTCAACAGTATCACCACTGTTATTACCTCTGACACTAGCAAATGCATCAGCTTCACTAAATATCTACGCCAGCCAGCTATGATAGGGTCTTATGAAAATGGTGGACATGTTTTCTGCTCTCTGGAGCAGCAAAACACACATTTTCCCATAGGAAAATAATGCAGCATTTACTAGTGCTTGATGTAACCATTTGCAGTACCAATGTACTTCTACGTAAGACTTCCTAATTTGTTCAGATTTTATTCATCTACTAGATAAACACAGCAGGCCTAGCTGAGGTGAACACAACTAAGATATTTAGGGTACAGGAAAACAAAACCAAAAAAAAGGGACTTGCTTGGCAGACCTGATGTGAACTACCTGAGGTCTGGAAGCATAAGTAGCCCATTTCCTGCTCTGATGCTCTAATGGACTAATTTCTGATGTCAGATACAGGGTCCTGCACTAGAAAGACCAGATTAGACACTCAAGCTAAAAGCCTGATTCCTGATGGAGGGAGAAACACGCATAAATGGACAAGTGAAATGACAACATTTCTAGGCAGCAATATCTGGCGGGCTGAAATCATATTTAAGCATAATATAATATGCTCCATAATTCTCAGGAAGGATAAAAATGGTGATGGTGGTAATCATCATTATAAACTTTGTTGAAAGTGCAAAGATAGCCAAACAAACCTAGAGAGTGCCAGCTGTAATTGTCACTTCCCATTTTATTTTATTTTAGACATATATTTTTAGATATTTCCTTTGTCTGGTAAGACAAAGCTTCATTTGGAAATAAAGACCAAGGGACATGAACCAATTGCCATGATGCAAAGAAAGAAACATCAATGGTTAAAAGGAGCTGTTCTACACACACAAGCACAAGAAATAGCGTAAAAGGAGTATTATAATTTTTAAAATAGTATTATAATACCAAAATTAAATGGATATTTAAATACAAACTTTTAAGTATTTCCAGTATATACCTTGTTCCTTTAAAGGTAACGACTGTTTGAGACTTCTCTGTGCAGCAGCACTTTCTGCATTAGCCTTTAGGAATATATCGGCAACAGTAAGTAGAAACTCCATGCTTGCACAAAGGTATATCTCCTGAACAATCACATCAAGAACAGTGCCATCTCTCCCCTGCTTATAGCTTATATCCACCATAACCTTCTTTTCAAATCCATGTTTCATTTCCACCATCCTGAAAGACCATTAAGGCAGCATTTAATGAGACAATAAAAAAACAGCCACAAATACAAAAAAACACTCAAGATTCTCACTCCAGCTGCAATACATTAACAAGAGTGAATTTAAAAAGTAACACCAAAAATTTTAAAACACGACTGATGAAAACATTAACATAAATTTTAAAAAACTTCAAAATTAACTGGATTCCCATACATTGGCAACTAAAGGTGTTGATAATTTTAACAAGTCAAACCATCACAATTCCTTGTTTACATATCAAAAGTATTATACTTTACTGAAGTTTGTTACCCTTCATGAAAAAAAAACTTAGTCTTACTTAGCCAGCGATTTATTAAAGCTGAAAGTGAAATTTGTTTCTATATGCATTTATTAATTTCATATTTAAAGTTTGCTTTATTTCATATTTAGAGTTTGTTTCTAGCATTTATGTTGGGGTCTCAAAAACAACATGGGGAACAAAAGGCAAGTAAGACGCATAAGTCCACAGTAACATATACTTCAAGAACAACCTATACCATAACTTCAGGGGAAGTTTAGGTTGGATATTAGGAAAAACTTCTTCACCGAAAGGGTAGTCAGGCATTGGAACAGGCTGCCCGGGGAAGTGGTTGAGTGTCCATCCCTGGAGGTATTTAAAAGAAGGGTAGACGTGGTGCTCAAGGACATAGCTTAGGGGTGGACTTGGCAGTGCTAGGTGAACGGTTGGACTCTATGATCTTAAGGGTCTTTTCCAACCTTAATGATTCTATGATTCTATGATAACAATTGCAGTTTTAACAGGCTACTAAAATGGAAACACTTGGAACTCTTCGTCAAACTCCAATAAAGAGCAATTTGTGTCAAAATACAGACCTTGGTGTAGCCTTCTGGATTGAGTGTCTTTTATCATCTAATGTACAGTTTGCCAGCTTGACTGAAGCATTCATTGAACCATCTGATAACATTTTGAGAGCAGCTGACATCAAAACTAACTTAAACTCTGCAAGCTTCAAAAGGTCATCTCTCTGATCCAAATTTGTAACCTGTTTAAATCAAATGAAAATAGGTTTGTAGATTCGCTTACAGGTAATGGAAATAATACACAGGTGTGATATACAGCTTTATTCTAACTGGTAAGATTTCTAATAATAATAATATCTTAAATAAACACACTGGTAATTAAAAAAATAACAAAACCCAATAACATACAGAGAAAACTGAAAAAAAGCAAAGCTTTACCCTTCTACCAGCTTGCTAAAGCAAGTTAACATTAGTGAAAGGGAGACAATGTTTAAAAGAAGTAGAATTGTCATATGCAATTTTGGTTTGTTTGCTGTTTAAAAATACATAGTACATGCGAAGATGCCAAATAAGAAATTAAGTTTTGTCTCTTATGACTATGTAGTGTTTAGCCAGATGCTGGAAAACTGTTCAAAATGTAAAATAACAGACTATAAGTTTACAATAAAATATTACCAAACTTTTAGTCAGAAATTTGCTGACAAGTTTTGTAAATTTAAACCAAGAAGAATAAAAACGCATTCATACTGTAATACAAATTTAAAATCTCTCTCTGCAATTTTATTTATATACATCTGTGTGTGTCCACACATGTGCGTGTAACTAAAGAATAGGTAGACTCCCTCTGTATTTTTTTCTTCCCAAACTGTATTTTAAACTAAAGTAAGTTTTCAGCAAATTTTTAGTCAGATCACAGAAGATGACATGTATTACATGCTACCACTGGTTATTCTCTTTCCTGTAATATCTGCCACATGATTTAGTTAAAATAGGTGTTTATCGTTTCCATCATGTTTGTTACTATTACTACAAATCACTTTCTCTGCTGATAAATTAAACTATTCCTGTTCAGAATTTCCATTACACTAGGCAATCTTAAAGCTGTTTCATTCTCTTTATAACCAAAATTATATTTACCTGTTTTGAATTTGGACTATACAATACTAAAGTCAGAGAGTCGAATCTGAAGTCCAGTTTTAGTGTTGTTTTTATTTTCATAGGTGAATGCAATTCCACCACAGCTGATGTCACAACTGTTACACCTTTCAGAAATTAGAAAAACCAAAACCAACATCCTCACTAATGACTATAAAGACAACAACTTCCCTTTTCCTCCACATGTAAATCCATCCATACTTAGGATATGTTTATCATGCTCTCTGTAATTACTTTTGGCAAAATCACACAATGTTTAAGAAAATAATATTCTCCACTTATATATTCTACACGCAATTTTTACCATCTTTAAGACATAAATGTACACCTTCGCTTAATGTTATACAATACTGTGTGCAAGAATGTTACAAAGAATACAAGTTTACTTTCATCCTCATTTGTTCATCTTGCCACATTTTTGCTATTTTTCACATTTAATAGAAGAGTTCAACAAAAGATTCTTTTCTTAACCTTACTGGCTTTTTTTTAGTGTGTACTGAACAGTTTATGGGCAATGATGTCTACTGAATAGGAACAACTTTTAGGGATGCCATCATTATGACAAGACAAACACATCTAAAACTGAACAGCAACAGAACCAGCATACACAGGAAAAAAAGTAACATAACACCTTTCCAAAGTTGGGACGTTACCAAATCCAGCTGACAGACTTTTAGGTGCTTACTGCATTACTGCCAGTAGAACAAGCACTCCTTACACTAAAACACATCATACTACAAAACCCACTAGAGTGGCCCACTTGCTCCTATTCATTATCATTATTGTTGGGTATAGCTCAAACCACAATGTCAAGATAATAGAGGCATACTGTTAAAAACAACTGAATCTGGCATCCTTTCATAAAGGCAATTCCAACAGAAATAATAAATTGACAGTAATACCTAAAAATGCTAGACCACGTAATTTTAGAACACATTACCTGCAGAGTGCTGTGAAGTACTATGCATATCACTACAATGGCTAGTCGTATCTTTCGGTTCTGGTAAAGATGTCGACGCACCAGAACTTCCACCTATATTTTCATTTAGCGTCCTCAATATTGTGGTAATATCTTCCTGACTAAGAATTAGCTTAAAAAAAGATTGTTATTAAACTCAGAACAACTCAGTTCATGAAACTTTCGGTAACTCAAATCCAAGTTTACAAATAAACAGATAAATCAAATTAATCTCATCTGAGTCTCTGTTTAGGAGACTAAAGAATCAAGCAAAATGTTTTCCTCAAATCCATACAACCCCTTACAGTAACTTCTAGAAATCAGAAGTCATTCACACATTATTTTGTTTTTCTCCACAAACTTTCTTTACAAAGCTACAACTTAGAAATTGAATGTTAGAAGTCATACACATATAGCTTGACTCACAGTTGCCCAAAATTGTTATCCGCATTTAGTCACAAGGTACTTTACAGTAATGGTTACTAGTTCTATTTCCAAATTTGGCAAATTGGCTTTCCTCATACATCTGACAAGCTTTATATTTTTTGATATTAAATTTAAATGAGCACGTGCACTAACTCATACTCAGGCTTGTCATGGGTATGAATTCAGCAGGTGATCACGCTGATAATGAACAGACCAATAAACCCCAACTTTTTCCATTTCTTCTTTGAAAGATACTAATTAACAGGTAAAAGAAGGCTGTAACAGTATACCCATTTCTAACAAGCAACAGTAACATACAGTACAAAGTCTGCGGGCGGCATCACAGCTGAAACACAGAGCTTAGATTAGAACAGAAAGCTATTCACTTCCTTTTTCCCTTTGAAACAACAAAATCCACTCTACCTATATACCTTGAAATCAAACAATACCCTAAACTAAGGAACTTGGACATTTATGGATAGAAAAAGGAATCCATTTTCCACGGATGCTTTGAGAAATGAGTGCTTACATTCATAGGCTTGAGTCGGCCAGATATTTCAATATCAGGAACTTCGTTATACCATGCAGCAGCTAAATTTCGTTCAACAGCTACTTCCAGATTGAGTGGCTGCAGCAACTGTACTTCAGTTTGCAATGAACCCTGCTCATAGCATGATCTGTGAACAGAAACAAAATACTCCCAGCTTGACATGCGTCACCTACTAACAAACACAAACACATTTCTGTCTTTTCCTCAGCTTTTTGAATAGTAAAATAGTCTCCATACTATTCCTGGTATCTCTAGTTAAAGCCTTACTCCACCAACTAGACATCTTTTCTTGGCAGGGAGGAGACACATCAGGCACATACCAGGCACGCAACACACTACCTTCTTGCAAGTTAGGATCTCTTACCTGCTCTCCACTGGAAAGCAATTCCTTCTTTCTTCAGTAGTCTTCAACTGTGTTTGAAAATCCCCTTCCCTTCCCTCTCCCAGTCCCCTGCACAAAGCCCCATTTTCACACACTTCTTTATGCTTATCTGACTTGATGTCTTTCCTGCTACGTATAGCTTGAAAAATCCATCAAAATAGCCATTTACAAATGAGTATAACCTGTCCCAAAGTGGTGAATGATACACAAGTCTATTATTCTACACAATATTCTGTAAACAAACATTTGCTTCTATTAAAAGATGTATAGATTGCTATTTCTCCTAAACCATACGTTTTAATTGTTTTTACAAAATCTTTATTAATTTGCTGTTATATTTCAAGATAATAGTGTATCCGTCAACCACCAACCATTAACTATTTTGATAACTTCCCAAAGGTCTCCAACTGAAGTATCCCAGAAGGATTACATGAATTTAAAAAACTCTTGACATTACATTACCTGTATAACTTTAGTTCACTCAATTTCACTGTCATAGAGTCAACAACAGGCGGGAGATTATACCGTGTCTTTGTTTTAGCGATAAAGAATTGGTTCTTCACGGTGATTAGACCAAGATCAGCCACCAGGACATTTGCAGACATTGCTGACTGTGGAACTATCACAACAGGTGCTTTAATATTGATATCTAGTGCCAAGCGTGAACTACGTTCCGCTAGCTCTTTTACACCTGTAGCTGCTTTCTCTGCTGCTTGAACGGTTGCCTCAGTAAGAGCTTCCTTGGCAGCTTGAAAGTTATTTATAAAAGCCTAAAAAAGAATACAGATCTTGGGAATTTTATTAAGAATTAAATTACTTCAAAAACACTAAGAATCATAGTTTTTTAAATAGTAAACCATCTTAAGATACTGTTTTTGCTATGCACTTTTTCTGAATTCTTTAATAGGATAATCTCCCCCCAAAATATGATAAAGTATGCATATATATAAAAATAAATTTCCATACTAAATATTTCGCAGAGCAGATGGTAACTGCAATGACCTTGTAACATGACTTGTATGAATTATATTTTATTTACTCATATGGAGAGTAAAAGATAGATTTACTTAGCAGAATTTATTGAAAAGGCATTAATTTTCACGGTTTATTACTTACATTTCAGTGTTATAAACAATGAACAGTGTGTATATCTAAAAGCTGCCACAAGTCATTTAATAAAAAAAATTACTAACAATAATAGCAAATATTGTTGCTTAGCCACCCACTCCACATTAACAAACATATGAAGAAGAAAAGTAAATAGCCCAACCACCAATCCCAGTGAAGTTTTTACACCAGTATATGAGAGTTCTTACACAAATGGGCACCACCCCATATGGGATGCTTTATCCTTTTCTAGCTCTGACAATGTTATCTGAAGGCTAAGGAACAGCATCTGGAAAATTTAACTTACCAAAATAGACGAAACAAACTTGTTGACAAAAACTACTTGAATACACCCAACAGTTAGGTAAATACGATTGTCAACAACATCCATATTTGTATACGCAATGCCATCTGTAGCATTCACATATGATATCATTCTAAAGTTGAAGACTTCTTTTCCTGTGATGTAAAGAGCCTTAGGAAGGAAAAACAAGAGTATCTCTACTGTAAAAACTTATGCTGGAGAAACTGAATTCCAAAATAAAATGTAGTATCTCACACTTCTAAGACATTTTTACTTTAAATGTCTCAACAATAAATGAAAAAAAAAAAATAGATGAAAATATTCAGCTGGAATCTCAGCTTGAATAATTCTGTCCATTAAAGTCAACAAAAGAAGGAGCATAATGAGCAGCTGGGCATCACAGTTGCACAAAATCAATGTCGGCCTAACAATCACCAGTTATGGGGGCGAAATCAGCCTGCCTATAGAGACTAACACTCCCAGCATATATGCAAAACATTATTAAAAAAAAAAAAAAAAATCACAGTTAGAGTTCACCAAGTAAGTTGAATTTAGCATCTACATTCCATTCAGAAATCAATGACACATGCAAATACATACCTTTTTATACAATGCTGTCTCATCAGAATCCACAATAATGATGTTCTTTAATTTTGCAGTCACTTCAGTTGCTGCTTTCTTCATGATCACTTGGCTATCCAGACCTTGGCAGGGGGAGGGCAAAAAAAGACATACAAAATCTAGAGACTAGTCTGGTTACGAAGTTTTATGCCTTTGTGATTAAAGTTTTGTTCCTACCTTCAATGTGAATTTCAGCTATTCTATGTTTTTTCCCTCTAATAAAGATACGTAAACAGGATAAATCCGCACAGATATTGAGATCGATAACATCTTCATACTTTGATTTTTTTGATGCTGTAGGAAATATAAAATAATAAACGTTACAGTTCTTCAAGGAGGACATGTAATATTTTAGTATCCCTTTCCCAAATCCTAGTTTGTATCAAGCCTACAAGCACTGGCAAGATGCACTGCACTCACACTGTATGAGTATGACACAAAGGAATTGTATATACAGGAGTCCTCATGTGCTTCACAAACTGTGGCAATCAACATCAGTATTTTATTAACTACAAGAAATACATTTGATATACATCTACACAGCATAATGCAAAATTAGAGATAGGTTATTCAGGACTAAGCAGTTTACCTCACATAGTGGTAACACGATAGCTACATTCATACACTACTCTTATCTGGTCTGCTGATTAGTCATCTGCGACCAATGGTCTTGTCTACATAGGGCAGGTGACTTCTTATTAAATCTCCACAACCTGTATTTTCTAGACTTAAGTTTTAAACATGAAAATACCACTAATAAAACTAGACACTGAAGAGAAGGGACAGCAGGCATCCTTCAAAATGAGTATGGGCAACCTTAAGACCTACAAAAGATACAAGCACAAATATAGTGCCTTTCAGAACAGAGGTGTCCAAATATTTAGTCCATTTTTGGTTTTCCAAAAACTGAGTAACAGTAAAAATATTCTATTTCATGTTAACAGAAATCATCTCTGATCATTTTCAGTAGATATGACTGATACCACACAACACTCTGCAGGTACAGTGCTAAATACAGAAGTCAACAGATAAGGTACTCAATCAACAACTTAGTTCATTTTTTCTGAAAGTCAGATCTGAAGCAACGTTACATGCTACTTCAAATGCCAAAGGGAAATATATCTTGTATTCAGGGACTTTGAGTCCTAAGTGTTAAATTCTTATAGGTAATCTATATACTAAGCTAAAAGCAGCAAAATTAAAAGTCAAACATTGAACCCATTTTTCCACAGCCTAGCTTTTCAGATGAGATATTACCTTCAAGTATTGTATGTGAGTATATTAAGGCTTTCTCAACCCTCACAATCAAGCTATGGTTCCATAAATACATCAGCTTCAGTCACATGATTTTATTTCATGTTGCTAACAGAAGACAAGCCACGGTAAATTAACCAATAACTACCCTCAGCTAAACTTTAGTTTGCACAGCTGTACAGCAGTGGGGGAGAAGGAAGGAGGAAAATCATAGAATGGTTTGGGTTGGAAGTGACCTTAAAGATCATGTACTTCCAACCCCCCTGCCATGGGCAGGGACACCTTCCACTAGACCAGGTTGCTCAAAGCCCCGTCCAACCTGGCCTTGAACACTTCCAGGGATGGAGCATCCACAACTTCTCCAGGCAACGTGTTCCCGTGCCTCACCACCCTGATAGTGAAGAATTTCTTCCTTATATCTAATCTACATCCACCCTCTTTCAGTTTAAAGCCATTACCCCTTGTCCTATCACTACATGCCCTTGTAAAAAGTCCCTCTTCCAGCTTTCTTGTAGGCCCCCTTCAGGTAGTGGAAGGCTGCGATAAGGTGTCCAATTTACAGACAAGGATGTTGTGCGGGACAGTGTCAAAGACTTTGCACAAGTCCAGGTAGATGACATCAGTTGCTCTTCCCTTATCCACCAATGTTGTAACACTGTCACAGAAGGCCACCAAATTTGTCAGGCATGATTTGCCCATAGTGAAGCCGTGCTGGCTGTCACCAGTCACCTCCTTATTTTCCATGTGCCTTAGCAGAGTTTCCAGGAGGATCTGCTCCATGATCACCTATGAAAGTTTTTCAGCTGTGTAAAGTCTAAATTGTCACACGTTAATGCATCAGAAACTAATGTAATTCTTTGCCTCCAAGAATTCTATAAGATACTAAACACTTTAGTGTTTGCCTGCATGGCAAAATGGTTCAAACCTAGAGAAGTGCCGAATCTTCTGTCCATAGCTCTCAGTAAGTCATGGAACAGAACCTTTTAAGTTCACAGACTATCTTAGGTATACAAATGGTATTTCACCTAGTGTCCAAGCATGTCCTTGTATAACTGAAATCAAACTACCTTGAATGAGAACAATCTCACACAAAAAAAAAAAATTAAAAATACTGTAAAATGGAAGATTTTTTTTTTCACAGAGCAATTATTCCACCTTTCACTACTCAGTTCTATTATGCAATGAAGACCTACAAAACACCTTCAAAGAATGAGCTGAGGAACTAAACTTCTGAACAATCAGATGGAATAATAAAAAAAATCATCAGCTAAAAGACAATGGCTGTGTAACGTACTAATACTCTTCCCACTTCTCATCCCAACTGATCTCTCATTATTTCTGAGGCAAATATTCTCTTTCATCTTCTTCCATCTCCCCCCCAAAAACAGAGGCTACAACCCTTATTTTCTCTCATTTTGTTAATAACCTGTTTGGCTCCAGACATGATAATTACCTTTCTTCTCACAATGCTTAAAAAATTAACATAACTGATTTTACTGAAGTACATACGGGAAACAAATACTCAAATGCCCAGAAAAGCTGTGCACCCAAAGGCTTGAATTTTTTTTCCTAATACAGGTACTGTTTCTATCTCAAGTTCTTCTTCAAAAAACATGATCAGGCTACCAGTTCACAAACCTCCCATAATAAAATCATTGACCCTCAGCAACACGGTAAGTTAATCACTGAATATGAGTATACACTAGATTTACAAACATAGTTCTGCTTTGCCAAACAGAAATACGTTTGTAAAGGCAGCACAAACTAACGTTCTCAAAAAAAATCTCACCAAGTGTTGCAAATGTGGTACTTGGGGTTTAAAGATATCAAACTAGTATTGAAGTTTAACTTGAAATGCTTCTAAGAACTAACATCAGTGAATGCAGGCAGCCTCAGAAAGATCTCATCAGTGTACAAGTGGGTTCGCTAGGTCAGTCAGATGAGGGAACTACTGAAATCAGTAATGCAGAGCACGTATTACAATACTTCAACTAGAATCATCTTGAGAACTATCCTCTACCATATTTTGTGTGTGTGTGTTTTCTTTTTCGTTTCAACAACCAGCTGGACCCTCAGTGTTTTATGATTAACAGCAAGCAATGATTCCAAAGATCTGAGAAGTCCTCCTCAGACCAGAAATGAACATCATTGGCATAATGTTGAGCATTTAACAGAAGCATTCATTTCAAAGTAGCTCCCAGACACAAGATCAAAAAATGGAGGTGATCTGTTTGTTTGCTCTTGCACAACATTATCAACAAATCTGACCTGCTTAATTCTTGGTCAGACAATGATAAAACTGCACAGCAAGCAAGTTATTCACAAGAGACTGATGTTCCTCAAATATAAGGTAATAAAATAATTGTAAGGCAATCAAAAGTCTCAATTCATCCCAGAAAAAAAAAAAAAGAAACAAAAAGACAAATTATGGGGGTTTTTTTGCATATACTCAGTGCCTTGAATACACAGCAAAGGTGTGTCTTGACCGATATATCAGAAAACAGCACACGGAAAGAGATGAGACTAACCTCATTAGAGCAGAATAATTCCATCAGACCAATATTGTTGGATAACTGACCGGCCTGCACCCCTTTCAGGATGCAACACTGCTAATGTTTTTGCAGGCCAAGGAAAGCTGGGAACCCTAAATTTATACATAGAAACCAGATACCTACAGAGTACCAGGTACCTTTGACAAACATGAGGAGGCTCACCAGATTTCTCTCAAATTGCAGGAATTCATATTCTACTTATGTGTCCCTAAAAACATAGTAATTGATATTAATGAATGCTATTACCAGCTTCTTATAACAGAAGACTGAAAATGCTCAAGCCATCCTCCACCATGCAAGGACTTCCTATTTATTACACTTCAAGGTAAATCCAAATTCACATGCCAGTTCATAAATGCAAAGCAGCAATTCCAACAAATTATTCTCACAAAATTGGTGCCAAAGAGATTTTAGCCATTCAGCAAATCAGGAGATCACTAGTAATCAAAACTGTCCTGGAGCTTATGAAATGCAGTAGTGTGTATTTTGTACTAATGCTTACAGCCCATGTCTACACATCAATAAATTGCTAAATGAGTACTTATCTGCAGGTTGCAAACCTAAACAAACAAAAATATTTTGATGATGGGAAGAAAGATAGTGTACAAAGTCATTTCACTGAGGAGTTAGAGAAAAACAGTAATTATGCTATTATTTGGAAAGCACAAAAGTGTCTAGAATATATTTAATACACATCACAAAGTTCTTGCCTTCATGCTAAATTTTCTAACCCATAAAGTCTTTTTTATTTCCTTACTTTTTATAAACACTTTTTCCACATTAATGCTATAATGTAGAAATACTTTTCTCGTTATATGGGAGAACACCATTAGGAACATAATCACTGCCAGTAAGCTACCATTCAATGCAGATTATCATACCTAAGTGAATTTGAACACATATCTTCAAAAAACATGCTTTGATTTCTATCTCAGGAAATGTCAACAGCTGCAGCATCTATCTTGCCTCATTAATTATACCGTTATTCTTCACGTGCACACTTGCAGCCAGGGAATAAGAGTATACCCTTGCTACTCCATAGTACTGTGATGGCTAACATTCTTATTACCGTTGAAATTAAAAAAGGCTGTGAAGTGGATAAGTAAATATACCCTAAACAAAATTTCTCATTTCAAAAGTCATTGACAGGCTTACACAAATAGAAAATATGCCTGTTTTCTTTCTTGGTTAAATAAGTGAAGAGAGGAATGAAAAGAGGGGGAAAGAAAAAGGGGAAAGAAACTTACTTAATTTCTTAAGAACATCCTTCTTCTCCTCTATTTTTTCATGGACTGGTTCTTCTGCAACCTTAGTTTCTTTTTTGGGTATAAGATTATTCAGATAGTTCATAGAATTCAGCAGAGCTTCAGTATGCAAATGAACATCTAGAGATGAAAAGTTCACCTAAAAGAACAAGTTATGTTTATCCAATATGCCTCTCTTCCCACAATGAGAAAATTCTGTTAAAAAAAGATATCATACCTTTATTTTCTGTAGAACATTCTGATAGGCAGTTTTCAGTTCTGGTCCATTAATATCAGCCTATTCCACCAAAAGTGCATGTAAAACAAACAAACAAATCAGGAGAAGTTTGCAAATTTCATTTAGAGAGAATTTATTTCAAAAACCACCACAAGTTAAGATGTACAAGTTAATCTGTTTAGGGAGCAGACAGACTTTGCACATGACACTCAATATGTTAAGGAATTAATAAGTAAGGAGAAACCTTCAACAATTGCTCAGTAATACTGTACAGTTTATGACTGGCTTACAGTTCAGAAGCAAATTCTGCTCTTTTCTCACCTTTATGTACTCCAGAGTTAGAAGATCATCTTCTACATTATCCAAAGTAGTAATTATGTAAACTGGCTTGTCATTATCATCTTAAAAAACCCAAAAGAATAAAAAAGATTATTTTTTTTTAAGAAAACAAAATTGACAAGTTTTCTACAACTCTTTTAACCATCTATAGACTACAAACTAGGCTACTAGCTGTCATTACTATTTAATCACAAAACCTCTTCTGCAGACCTAAAATAGTTAGATGTCTCTACTAAAATCATCAGCATGAGAACATATTTACCAAAGCATTATCAAGAGAATGAGCTCCTGAATTACTTTTCCCTTCCCCCCCTTCACATTTAGTTTAGGAAGCAAATCTTTCTCAGTTGACAAAAGAAAGCCCTACAGGCTTTTTCAAGACAAATTCACAGTATTATCTGTGAATAATTTTTTGATCATACTATAAATACTTACCCATATACTCTGGGCACAGCAGACAAACTTCACGAAGGAAAGCATTTGCAGTCATGTCAAATGTTCTTAATTTAAGTTCAGTGCCTAACCCTACAATATCAAGTTGCAGCACAGGTGTCTCAGCATTACCAGTAAGACGGCATAATTTAATTAAGACCTAAAAAAACCACAACCAAACAAAAAAACATAAAAAAAAGGTAGGGGGTTATCCACTTAGTTTTTATATAGGATTATATATTTACATTCATTTTACTGGTTAATGTGTATTGATAATTTAACTATATACAGCAAATGCCGTGGAAAAAATAAACAGTTCAACAAACAAAATTGCTAGAATACTGTTTGCTGCTATTTTAACAAAAACTTCAAACATACACACATGTAATATCAAAGTTACACTTACATGAACTAATTTATTTTTAAGAACAACTCTGTAAATCACTTAGTAATGTTCAACCCAGTCAAAACTAGATTTTCAGTCAGCATAAAGAGTTTACCGCTTTCACTGGAACTTCTTTGAACTCTCCTGGTAAGTGTCAGATTCACAAGCTGAATATCAGGCAAGAGGATTTCCTACTTTTTCACCCATGCTTGACAAAGATGTTAAATAAATACCTAGCTGAGCTGTTGTTATCTGTCTCTCACAACCAAAGCAAAACAAAGATATGTACTCTTTCCTTCCACATAATGCTCTCTACAAATAGGGGAAAGCAAAACCAAACCCAGTAAGTCATGTTAAACTATAAAGCCAACAAACAGAGAGAAGGTGATTCTTAATACATTATCTATTGTATTTCTTTCTTACAGATTGTAAGATATTTTCCATTAGAGAATAATGTAACATACAGCATCTATCTTTAGACTCGTAGTTCTTAAACAAGGTCTTGTCATCACACAAAACCCAGTACATTTCAATTTTGTTTATGTATTTTCTGTAAAGTGTAGTATACAATAATATATGTTACAAGCTAGTTATTACTTGTTCAAGTCATTCTGTAAGCCCCACCCTAAAACAGGATTTGTAAAGTTAACTGAATTTGTATGGTTTATTTGTAAAGTTATACAGTGAGCAGCAGCAATAACACTGTCATAGCCAAGACGGTCTAATGATAAAGTTACAATAGTGTTAAGAGGCCATCTCTTTTACTAGACCAACCAATGCAGTTAGAAACAGTGTCTTGCATTTGGGTAAAATACTCTTCCCTCTCCCCCCGCCCTCCCCACCCTCACGTCTGAAACAGCAAGAATAACACATGAAACACCTCATTGTGAACATATTACAGATTTAGGTGTGAGGCCACAGAGTCTGGGAAAAACTGGAGCAGAAAGATAGGGTGCTTGTTACAAGATGGAACATTAATGAAGTTTTCCCAGTGACCACAGCAGTATCTGGAAAAAAAGATGTCAAAAGCTACATCTTAAGCCAAAACAACTACATAATGTGATTTTTGAGTGATAGTTAGGTAAAGGAAATTCAGTGATGAAATGAGTTGGGAAGTAAAGTGGATAAATCAAAGCATTTCAGTGACGACAAGGATGCAGAAGCACAACTGTGACTTGGGAAAAATTCTACAGAATAGTTTCAGCAAGAAATGGGGAATCAATACTTCTGCATACATGGATTAATGAACACAACAAACAGGGAAAAATTATAGTTCAGATGTGCTTCAGAGAAATTAAAAAAAGTAACTTTACCTCAGCTACTTCAAACCTTAGCTGGCATTCTGTCATATTTTTCAAAGATTCTTGTTTACGCAGTCTTTTTCGCCTTGTACTGCTAGCTCGCTTGAGGGAACCACATGGGGCTTCAAAAAATGGCATGTCTTCCACAGGACTGCTTAAAGCATCATAAAATTCTTCTTCTGATTCTAATGATTAATTCACAACAACATTATATATACATTTTAGCCAATATTTTTCAGTACTACGACCTAGAGTTTTTATGTCCACATCTACAAAAACTTACATGTACAAGTATGGGAAGATTACCTAGCTGATAATTAGCAACCAACAAAGCATGTTTCTATAATTATCTCCGCTCCTGCTTCCACAACTTTTCACCACACCTACAGCAGTTATAAATCAGTTTTCATCAACTAACTCCTTCGTCAGCATTCTCTCACTATTGGCTGTGCAAAAGACAGCACAAACCGTGGCTCATCTTGCCTTTGGTGTGTACTAATAGCTTAATAATTCTTCTGCTGCTCTGCCTGCTGCTGACCTTACAGAAGCATTTGCCTCACTATCTTGGCACTACTTTGGATCTCTCCCTGCTAAGGATCTCCCGTTTCAGGAGAGACTCCTAAGGACAATCAAGCTTTTAATCCACCTGACATTATTACAGAAGTAGAACCAAGACAAATGGATTGCACCATCTTAAAAGGCTCTTTTCCTTCACCTAAAAACCATAAACAGTGAAGCTATAGGTAACTGTGGAAGCAGTATCCTCCTTCTGACAAAACTGTACAAAGGACATTAAGAGGTATTTTCTAAGGCACCCTTGAGTCTGGAGGATGAAGACATAAAAATAACACGAATCACTTAAAATGACTGCACAGCTGTATGTATAGTATAAATCAAAAAACAGACCTGATTCAATCTAAATCTAGTTATTACTTTCTCATATTAATTGTTGCCGGTGTTCACTCTCAGCTCACTGTAATTTTTAAGAATGGAAAGACACTTCCTCTCTACCTTTGGGCACTTAAAGAAACTCATACAAACAATAGATGAAGATGCACAGATACTTATTTCTATATATATTGTACACACACTGAATTTAAAGTCATAAAGTAGGCATAAAAATTAACTTTGCTGATAATTTTGCTAGTGTTTGCAAACCACATACATCATTAACTTAAGAGAGGAGAAAAAGTATTGTTCTCTATTTTTCCAGTTGAGTGCTTTGGCATGACAAAGGTGATTGACACTGAAATAACATCCATATGTTTGATTATTTTTCAAATGTAACTACTAGATGGAACGTTACAATCTAGCTAAGCTGTTTGAACAGCAAGGCAGTATTACACATGACCAGCTTCACCACCGCCAATATTCTGTTTTATCCCATAGAAGCTGAAATGATGTTTGTTTATAACAACACAGTAGTTGCTAACAGTCATCATTTCAGTATTTTGTCATTTAAATAAATCCAGCTAAGTAGGAGAGAAATCCTTCACCAGAAGAAAATAATTAAAACCATCATCAGAGGACTAAGTACATACTGAAGCAAAAAATTACATACATACTACTACAGATGTTCTGCATAGAGAATTGTAGTAACATGTGCAAAGACAAAAATAAACACACCCATCCTACCAAAATTTTACTGCTTTGCCTTCAGAAAGAGAACGGCAAGAACAAGCACACAAAATTTTACTGCGATGAGAAAAAAACCAAATATTTTGTACAGAGTGAATTCTAATAAGCTGCACAGAATATAACACTAATCAGCCTTCAAGACCTTGAAACAAAGCCACAAATGGTCACTTACTCCAAGAGAAACAAATTAATTCAATGAACTCAAAAACTTAACTTGTCCTGTTTATTAAATCAGACTAAAATAGATCGTATTACCTGACTCAGCAAACGAATGAAGATCCAAAACAGGAAACACACCTTGTGATAAATGTGGTGCTGAGAGCACAGGGGATATTGCAGCCTGAAACAGGAGATACCGTAAAAGTTTTTGCTTGAATTCATTGGTCATGCTATTGCATGCATATATTTCCTCCTTAAGGAAACTGGTCTTATTTTAAGTGCAAATCATTACAGTTAAACACTTAATGTTACTAAAATTAAAAGCATGGGGAGAAATGAGGCCTTAATCAGGTAGAAGCATCAGGTACTGCACATTCATCTAGCTACAGAGTTAATACATCAGGAAACACGGTGAACAGGTTCAAATATTCAACTTCACAGACCAAAAGATGGACAGAAACAGCACATCATATGACAACTCAGAAAACACAAGACCTAGTCTCTCACAGGACTACAGTATGGAAACTTCAGGGAATAGTAAAAGATCAACTGTTCTTTATCAAAATCACATGATACTAATGGCAGGTGGGAAAAAATGAAAAAAGAGCTAGAAAAACCATTAGAGCAGACAGGATTTTTTTCTAAATTTTATAGAATCATAGAATCCTTTAGGTTGGAAAAGACCCTTAAGATCATCGAGTTCAACCATAAACGTAACACTGCCAAGTCCACCACTAAACCATGTCCCTAAGCACCAGATCTACGCGTCTTGTAAATACCCCCAGGGATGAGGACTCAACCACTGCCCTGGGAAGCCTGTTCCAATGCTTGAGAATGCTTTCAGTGAAGAAATTTTTCCTAATATCCAATCTATGCCTCCCCTGGTGCAACCTGAGGCCGTTTCCTCTCGTCCTATCACTCGTTACTAGGGAGAAGAGATCGACTGACCCCCACCTTGCTACAACCTCCTTTCAGGTAGTTGTAGAGAGCAATAAGGTCTCCCCTCAGCCTCCTCTTCTCCAGGCTAAACAACCCCAGCTCCCTCAGCCGCTCCTCATAAGACTTGTGCTCTAGACCCTTCACCAACTTCGTTGCCCTCCTCTGGACACACTCCAGCACCTCGATGTCCTTCTTGGAGTGAGGGGCCCAAAACTGAACACAGTACTCGACGTGCGGCCTCACCAGTGCCGAGTACAGGGGCACTATCACCTCTCTGGTCCTGCTGGCCACACTATTCCTGATACAAGCCAGGATGCCATTGGCCCTCTTGGCCACCTGGGCACACTGCTGACTCATGTTCAGGCTGCTGTCAACCAACACCCCCAGGTCCTTTTCCGCCAGGCAGCTCTCCAGCCACTCTTCCCCAAGCCTGTAGTGTTACATAGGGTTGTTGCGACCCAAGTGCAGGACCTGGCACTGAGCCTTGTTGAATCTCATTTCTTCACGTATCTAGAAAAACAGATGCTAGTAGAGTCTTTCATTGTGAGATGCAGTTATGCACAACCCAGAGAAGTAACTGAAAATGTGCAAAATGTCACTGTTTTGCCACTAGAATGGACAAAAGGACCAGAATCCTCACTCCATGTGGTATCATATGTGACAGAATTAAATTCTCTTAATGAAGGTAACCAAATGGTTTATTCACCAAAGCTAGATTTCCCATCAAGCCTCAGAAAGTAGTCTTGGTCGTTTGATTTTGTAAAGAATTCTCATCTGCATGTTCCACATGCATATTTAGTGTACATGTGCCTTGTAGAGAGTACTAAAGTAAGGTGAGACATGTGCATTGTATGTGTGCCCATTCTTGAATGTCTTTGGCTCTGGACTGCACAGACGATAGTAGCTGGTTTTTGGGTTTGGCTTTTTTTTTTTCCCATTACTGCTGCTTTCAAAGCTCAGTCTCAGACAATTATTCAATAACTCACAGTACCTTACAGAAATCTAAATATTATGGTGACAAAGAAACATTCACCTTTGAATATTGTTTCCAAGGCTCCATTTTTCATCTCTTCACATTTCAACAGTCTCTATTCTCAGTCTCTAGCCTATATAATTTGACCTTACTGAATACATCCATGTCTATGAGTGATAGATACACCAAGTCGCTAAAAGTCTTGTAACTGTGAAAGTGTTCGATCTGTAACACTTCCACTTCTAAGACGACAAGGAGAAGAAACTGTGAGACTAGACTTCACAGTACCAAATCAGGAGAAATAAAGCCTTCCCCACTGAAGTGGCAGCCTTCTTGTACTAAAGTACAAGGAAGTACAGAGTGCAAAAACCTACAAGGATCTGTTCTGAAGAGTCTTCTGTTTTTGCAGCCCAAGAACAATTTCCCGCTAACTCAAAATGTAAAGAACAAAGTTCACACGCGGAGCTCTGAAAAAGGATTTCATGTCCTTTTCGGTTCAGAAGTGAAGTGGTGGCAACAAAGCTCAGAAGAATTTCAGCTACAAGGATGAAAGCACGGGAGTATATCTGCCACCACCAGAGCAGCAAATCCACTCAAATTAACTGAATTTAATACGAGCAATTAGAGTCTATCAAGCTCTGCAGCAGATGGAAGCTTGAGCAGACAGGCTCAACCACAGGTATTAATATGGATGTTGCATATAATGCAAATACATTCACACTGCCTCAACAGTCTTTCCTCACCTCATCTCGTATGTCACAAGTAATATACAGGTAATACTAAGCACATCAAAGTCACTGAAAATATTTTAAATGTAATAGTTGAATTCTATAATTAAATTCAAGTATAGGCAATGTTATAAAGTACAGGATAATAATCTTATACGTGCACATTTTATTTATGTAACACTAAAGTCCCATCACTTATCCTTGAAGAAAGTTCGTCTGTGATTAGTTGCACAAAACAACAGACACTAGGGCAGCTTTTGGCTAGGGATACTATTAGTATATGAAGAGTGAAAGAGCAGGTCAGGACTAGCTAGAATTTTAATGTCACCACTGGCAGGACCTACATCTTGGAGGGAAACAAACTTCACTCTATATACACTTTAAATAGGTATGCATGTCTAGTTGTGTGCATTTACAGTTATTGAATATTATGCTAACATAACCCACAGAAAACACCACCAAAACTGCAATAACAGCCATCAGGAACAGAATAATTTTTATAAAGATGGAAAGACAATTAAGTAATTTTAAAAAAAAAAACAAAAAAAGAAACACAAAGATGACCATTATTCCTTTAGAATCAAGTACACAAAAGATTAAGTAACAGATAATTAGAAGTATTTACACATGACAGAAAAATGGATAGCCCAATTTTGTCTTTGACATTGAGATTTCACATACGTTCAAATGATAGGACTGCTTTAAAGATACATAAAACATTACTAGATCATGCAGGCTAGAGTGATGTTAAAAATTAGCAATTCAGAGTTCATTTCCTCGTTTTGTGAAAACCAGCTGATATCAAAAGGTAAAACATACTTTTCAGGAATAATAACAAGAAAGTGGCAATTCTCTGTCCCAAAGAAAGCCTAAAACTGTGACCCAGACCATTTTCACTAAAGAAAGGGGGTGGGGAAGTAGGGAGAGAACTCACTCCACACTCCTACATCTTAGAAGTGCAAGGCAGAACTGCCACCCACTCAGCTATGTCATATAACTGAATAACAAAAAGCTGGGAAGAGCAGTGAAGTCAGCTGAAATGAAGCTGCCAGTTTTTCCAGGCAGGCACTGTTTAGCCAACATTAGCCACAGATAGCGGATATTTTTGGTTTTGTTTTTGAAAGTTAAACTCCTGTCTGACTAAGATTCACGTAATACTTCAACTTTAAAAATTTCAAGGTCTCAACCTTTTCTTCGTTCAAGACCAAAACAGCTGAACCCAAACTCTGCAGCACTCTGATACGTGTATAAATTTGAAGGTACAATTAAACTAATCCTCAACAAAACTGAATATGTTTGTTAATCAAGATTAATATGAACTACAAAGTAATTCCCAGAATAGTAAAAGTTTGGGGTTTTTTATTTTAAATTCAACCACTGGACAACTATTTCATAATTATTGGCTAAAGATCACAATAAACTAACTAAATAACAAGCAAAATTTCTATAGGTTTAGAAAATTAGCTAAGTTTTTCAAGAGGTACTAAGTGAATGCTTGTTTCTCCACTTTCTTGTGCTCCTTCCAAAACTGCAATGCTAATAGCAAGAAGGTATTTTTCTGATTATTATTAATGAAATTTTTTTTAAACCTTACCTCAGTTGTTTTTGGAGGAGAACTGGTAGCAGGAGCACTTTCTGGCTTAGGAATGCTATCAATTAGCTCCAAGATACTTGTCAGCTTCTGGTCTGATATTTGGATAGAAAGTAAAGGCAGCTGTCCAGACAGTTTGAACCTGTTTTGTAAACAATCAAAGTTATCTTAAAACTATTTCATTCAAACTTTCTGTTAATTTTCTTCTGAAAAACACACAAGCCTTCCTGGTCAGAAAATCACTTATCTAATCATTGCATGTAAAAAACCAACCAAACAAAAAATATATCTCTATATATGTAACTTCTGTTGCACACAGAAGAGTTACTTAGCCAGCAAATACCCAGTTATTAACATAATTTGTATTTTCATTTGATACCATGTCTTGCAGATCAGGACTGCAAATAACGCTAATAACCGTTTCTGCTTTGGCTGCATAAAGCCTATTTTCCTCACAATCAGAAATTGTTCCCTCTTGTTTGTATATTAATTTAATTGCTTGTAATAAATCACATAACCGAGCCTTTACACAGTATTTTACAGAAGAAGAGGTGGAGGATTTTTTTGCATAAGAATATTTACAGCCCAAAACTTCAAGCAAAGTATACCAAATACTTCCTAGAAGTTATATATTTTTAAGTTGACTCTAGCACTAGTCTAGATATTTAACAAAGGAGTAAATGGCATAGCTATAAAGGACATAAAAGAATAAAATAACAGTCTTTAAAAATAAAAGCAGTAAAACATATTTTAAGCCTGTTTGAACAGACTTTGGCCAAAAAGAAGTAGAATCACTTCAAACGTAGATACTGACTTTTTAAAGACCTAAAATCCATCCCAGTTTCTCACAAAAGTGAGCAAAACAGAACTAAGGAGAAAACTGGCTCCAAGAATATTATTATGCTTTTATTACAACATCTAGTTAGAACAGATAAAGAGGTCTGTTCAATAAGCCAACTGTCTCAAGAATAGGCAACAGCAGATGCTTAACACGTGGGGTGTAAGGAACAGGACCTGCTATTTCCTCCCAGTTTTGCTGTGCTTAACTAACAGCTCAGTCTTCAAAGGAACATAAAATACAATACATTGGAGAAGATGTGAGGACAAAAACCCCCAAATTTTCAATCACTCTCAACTAACTTTGAGACTACAAGAGCAACTGGAAAAATAGCTCCTCATACCTGTGCAAGCCAAGCACAAAGTTGCACGTGTTAAACTGTAACATCAAGTACCTACTTTTCTACAGTTTATGAATGTCTTCACATCCTTAAATTCTTCTTAAATTCTCAACTACTTTTGACTTTTATTCTTAATTCCAGTACTATCAGAGAGAAATTTAGACCTTTTTTCTTTTTTTTTTTCTTTTTTCTTCTTTTATTTTAATGGAGAGGGGCAGGATAAAAGTGTAGCTGCTGGGTCTGAAAGGACCTGTCCATCTACTGCTTGGATGCTCCAGTAATCTAGGACACTCAGCAGTTCTCACTTCCATTGCATTTAAACCTCCCTACAAAAATTCATGTTTATTGTTAAAGACATTTTTGATGAATGTTTGTACAATGGACAGCCCATGCAGTTATATGGAAGGCACTTAGCAGATGCAAGGCAGCTAACTACAAATAATCCCAGGCTCACTACACTGCTCTTTTAACAAAAGCTTTTAAGGTTCAGAAAACATCTGGAAGTGGAATACAACTATTCCCAACTTGTAGAGCCTGAGGCATGGAGGAGATAAGTGCTTCAATTCATGAGGAAATATGTGCAGAAACTTCTTCCAAGTTCAGACTGGTTATATTTAGAGAGAAGGAAATGTTAAGGATGCCATTCTCAAAGCTGCAAATAAGTACATTCCTTCAAATGGGATTTTTTTTTTTTTTTTTTTTTAAATGAACACTATTATTTGGAAGGATGCTCTTAATACTGGTATCCTAATACGGGCTTCATACACCTTCAAAAACCAGATGATAGACTCCCAGACACCTCCTTCAGAAAATGGGGGGATCATATCACAGGATAAAGCAAACATCAAAAAAAAAAAAAAAATCTTACACAGGATAGAAAACTAAAGAATCGTATTAGTGCTTCCAAATGTGAAGTGACAGAAACTATAAGGAGCGCTGCATCCTATTCTCAGAAATGAAAGAAAGGCAGATAATGAGATCCAACCACAGAGTGAAAGCACATTTTAAGGGTCAGGAAACATGAGCAGATGAAAATACAGGTTAACAGTCAAAGGCCCTTGATACAGTGGTCTTCAACAAATGAAAATTACATAAATTAGTATGCTCTTCAAGGCAGCAATGTAGAAACGTGCCTTCCTAAACAAAGCCAGCACGAAGTCCTGGTGAATTCATTGTTGTTTTTAAACAACAAAATCACAGAGAATTCAACTGAATTCAACGGTCACCTAAGGAAGCACAAACATCAAAGAATCCAAAATATACGGATACCCAATTAGCTGCTTTTTAGACAACTTAAAGTAAAATAGGTGCCCTCCAAACTGAAGAGACTCATTCATAAAATTCTACTACAGTAAATAAAGCAATTTTGATACTAGTTTTTGCTGTAGAACTAACATTTTCCTCTCACCTTTTTCAACAGACTTATGCTGTTCTACAGCACTGTTCCAAATATTAATGAAAAAAAGTTCAGGAAAAATATAATGCTGGCTTTATATGCAAGCATACTTATAAAAATCGGAATATAAAGGAATAGCAACCTGTATACTAAAAATACATTCACATATGTGTAACTGATGTAAGCAATACTGATGCACAATACCCTATTCAACTATAATTACTAAAATTTACAGTTTAGGGGATTTTTGCTGACACAAAAGCTATCAGTTAATTTTTATCATTTGTGCACAATGCCATCTAGAGATCACAAGGGCCTAAATATTTGTACATAAACACTCATTAACTGACCATTCTTAAAAACAAAAAGAGATTATGCAGTGACAATTAGAGATTTGGCATTTGAAGCTATGTTGATACTGATAGTATTGATGGGTTTGAGTAGTCAAAGCTAGAGATCAACAGAAAATAGAACATTTGTACTTTGAACTGATTTGGGAGACACATAACCAAATGTAAAAATTTATCATACAATCCTAACCAGATATATACTATACAGAAGTTCGTGGTTTTCAGACTTCAGAATTTTAAAGAGCTCAAAGCAAGAAGGAAGAGCAGCAAGCTCCTAAAGAAAGGGTCAGATCTCTACTATCAGGTAAAAAGCTGCTGTACCAGTCATTTCAAGACTGGTAGATGACTCTAGAGTATTATAATACTGCAGAATACATCCTGGAAGCATTTGGAGACTGAACCAGGTACAAAATTAACAAGTTCAGCTGTTGTTGAGTCATGGTACCAACATGCTAGATTTGAAATGATTACTTGCTCTTTGTGCAGGTTAAAGTATTAGTTATGATTAGTAACTTACTGTGGTATATGCTTATCTAGTACCAAACTGCTGTCCGTGGCATTCCTAACAGTTGTAGACAATACAGGCACTCAGAAAGAAGCAGAAGCTGATCTCCAAGAAATATTACTATCTTAGTGGAAGAAAAATTTGCCGATATCTAGGCACAAGTAGAAACTATTTACTGTCAAGTAAGTGACTGCATGAGAATTCAGAATACAGAAATAATATCCATTAGGGAAAAATTTCCCAACATCAGTCTAGACAGATAAACTGCCAAAAGGAGAAGCACACCTGGTAGCCAAGACAGTTAGACAGGCAGTACTACAATACTGCAACAGGTGTTCTCATTAAGAGCAGACAGTCCTTAATCCAGGTTACACTAGCATAACTTGGAGAGATGTTAATTACAAACCTACATTAAAACAACATTCTGCTATATGACCACAGAAATGAAATCTCACTTTCCCTCCCTGGACTCGCTGACATAAAAAGGCAGCTTCCTGTGAGTTTTACTTCCCTTATCTCACCTTCTCCACCAAACAGAGAAAAAGTAAGGAGGGAAAGAACAAGTTGTCTTGTGAAGTCAAGCAACAAAATTCAGAATCTGGCCTCCCAGCTTTCCAGAAGGTGGCACCATTATATCATGTAATCATTGATCTGCATTCACAATACACAGCACTGGTGAGGTACGTTATTTTTAGGGTTTTTTTCTGACTAAGCAAATCCTAGATTCTTCGTAAATCTTTTTTTTTTTTTTTTCATAAACTGCCTCTTGATTTTGCTGATTGTACTAAATAATTCTCTGCAATAGCCTAGGTCTATTTTTATGCCATTAATTTTCTGAAGTGCCTAGCTAAAATCTGAATTTCCAACAGTATTAAGAATGAAATAAGCATATGCTAGCTTGTTGTAGCACTAGAATATGATTCTAATTAATGACTTACTAAACCAAATTACCTTGTAATGCATTAATGTGCTACTTTGCAAATACTTCAAAACTGATCGGAATTTTTTAGGCAGTAGTGTCCTTATCACACATTACTGAAGATGCACTTCCCAAAATACATGCAAAGTTGATCTTTGTCACTTTGACATCAACATTTCATTATTAATAGTAATATACATTTTATTCTGATTGAGTACAATTTCCATAACCAATAGGTTTTTTGCTAAATAAGCCTAAGTGCAAACTCAATTAAGAGTTGCATTAAGAGCTATTTCCCTGAAAAGTGATCTCTAATACGTAAGCAAACAAGATGAATAACCTAAGTGAAAGAGAGAGAGTATGACAGCACACTGCTTTTCAGCGTATTTTTGTGATGTTTATAAAAGAAGCTTTGTAAGTTCAGATTTTTTGCTCCTTGGTATTTCCAGTGAGAACTGAAATGTAGCTATAAGAAAGAGCTAATTAGAATAGGTATTCATATCTTCAATAAAGATCTTCAAATATACTATACGTACTTATTTTATAACAATATAACATTCTATCACCTCTTCAATATTTGGTAACTTCTTGGGTTTATTCTCTGTTTTTCTTGATGAAGGTATTTTACTTCCAAGATTCACACATGGGCAATGTAAAATAGCACACATGTAACTAGATCCTTGATCTTTTTCTTTATTTCCCCTAAAAAAAGTCATTTACCATAAAATTTCAAAATAGGAAAAAACACATACTTGGGCATTCTTGCATCTGTAACAACCAGAGCCCTGCTAAATTCCACTTTTACATCCAAGGGCTGCAAGATATGTTGAGATGAATGTTTCAGCTTCCGAGCCGCTTGCCAGTCCTCATCTAGAAGAGCAAAGAAAACCTATGCTTTAAACATTGAAAGAGATTCCTTCTCATTACATATATCACAGAATTAAACTATCTGATACTAGTTAATAAATATTGCTAAATATTCAGGTGACATGATCACTTTTACAACTCTATCAATACATGTATATTATACAAGATCCGAACTTCAGACATATAAGACTACTTAGTAATTTCTACCGTTCACATCTGAACAGCTACCTCATCCATGCTGCAGACTTCTAAGGGCCCAATTCTTAACATGCATGGTACTGGGAGTTTAGGCCCTGGATTCTCCTCTGGAACCAGAGGGTTAAGAATTAAATGCTTAAGACTTCTCTAGTTCTGAATCTTTCTATATTGTTAGTTCCCAAACTACTAGTAAAAGTTTCCTTCAATAAGGGATTCTGATCCTTTCTTTACTCTCACAAAATGATCAAACCTACAACTACTCATGGATTCTGCTTTAAATTTGGAGGGAAGCAAGGAAAAGGCACTGAAGGAAAATACCATAAATAAATTAATTACACTCTTTTATTTATTATGTGACAAATCAAATGAGATGTCTTCCAAAATAAGAGATTTATTTTAAGTTTATTTATTTAGAAAAACCTAAAGTTGGAACCTAAGGCCTAAATGTATGTCTTGGAAATTCGTAACATGTTCATAGGACTGACTTTAGAACATGAGTTTAAAGAAGTATGTTTCAAAGATTCTCCACTGCTTCAGTTAAAAATATAAAAGGCACCTCAACCACCAAAATATTTTTACTCACATAGAGAAAGATTACTTTCATGAATACTTACCGTGTTTGCTGTACAGTAACTGTATACTGCTGAGCTGGATATCAAAAGAGTCATAAGCTCTTGACATTATATCTTCAATAGAGGTTTGTCCTACTTTGAGTTCTGATAAATCAGAACGGCTTTTGCTTTTCATCTTAAAAACAGTCATAAAAAAGCATAAATCAATTTCAAAAATATTCAAAGCACTAATTCTACAAATACTCAATCCTACCATGACAAAAGATTAAATTTAAACTTCTCATTGTAAGGGCACAGAGTCTTACAAATACCACAGCAGAGGAGATACCTAAAATTAGTAGCCTGTACCAAACAAAAAATGGAGAGTATTAAACTCCATTTCTTCTTCAAGGAAAGTAATGAAATAAAAAAAAATAAACTAATTAAAACCTATGAAGTTTTATACAATATGTTTTGTATAAAATAATTTTCTTTAATAAGTGACTCATACCCCAAAGTATAAGGTCTCAAACCCTTTGTAATCAGTAGAATAATTGTTCAGTTTTTCTATATGTAAAATATTACTGCATTAATCACCTCAGAAACATGAAATCTGTTTTTGAATCCTGTTGAATTTAGTTGTAACGTTACCCTGTTACATATTAGTCAAACAAAGTAAAAGGGAAAAGGGGGTTTGGACTGTTCATCATCAATGTTCGATGTCTTTCCTTTAATATCGGTCAATATCCCTTTGACTCAGCTTTGGCATGCCCATACTTCTTTGGTATTTCACATTTGTACGTGCCCTCTCTGCTGTTCATCTCCAATGAAATGTGGCTGTCCTCATCCTTAAATGTCTAATAATTTTGGATCCATATCTGTTTTTGTGAGACCCAGATAGTATCCAAGATAAGGTTCATAACCGTGAAACAGTGTCTAAGACACAGCATTTCTTTTTCCAGTGCTACTGAACTGTGACTACCTTTACATTAAAAATTACTTCCAGATTGAAAGTTCAGAATTACCAAATTAATATTGCCTGTGCAACCTTAATTAAGTCCACTTATGTATGTGCATTGAGATACAGTTTTAATTTTATATGCCATTTACCCCCTTGGGGCTTGACCTTCTCCAGTACATAACTGAGGGAAAGAAACTATTTGTTCTGTATTAAACATACTCATTCAACGAATGAGCTGCATCTCACTTAAGCATATGTCACCCAAAGTGAATACAAAATTAGTAATCATATCCTGAGAGGCATCTAACTTTTCTCTTTTGGTATTGCCCAATTCCTTCATCTTTCTTTCTAATTTCTATTAAAGGACAGGAACCAATCCAAGAGTCACATTCAATATAAAAATTACTCATCCATTTCAGAAAAACATCTCACAAACGCATTTACTGGAGTCTGATTTGAAACGTATTCTTCTATGTATTATTCTGAGAGTAATTTCCTATGGGTGTAGTAGAGGAGGTCAGCTGTTCTATTCCCCGCCCCCATTCGATCTAGGAGGCTGTCTCAAGGACCCAACCAGTATACAGATTGATTATTGAACGCTACAAAACACCTACAAATGACCTGCATTCAGAAGAGCTGGTAAAATTATTAGTCATTGAAATAAGTGATCTGGTTGTAAAACCAAATTATTTTTAGTATCTACACAGCAATGTTTTTCACTAATTCCATTTTCTGAATCATCTGATATATTCAACAAGGCCAAGTGCAAGGTCAGCACCTGGATCAGGGCAACCCCCAGTATCAATACAGGCTAGGGGATGAAGAGATCGAGAGCAGCCCTGCAGAGAAGGACTTGGGGGTACTAGTGGATGAAAAGCTGGACATGAGCCCACAATGTGTGCTCACAGCCCAGAAAGCCAACCATATCTTGGGCTGATATCAAAAGAAGCATGGCGAGCCGAACCCCCTCTACTCGGCTCTCATCAAGACCCCACCTGGAGTACTGCATCCAGCTCTGGGGTCCTCAGAAAGAAAGAAATGGACCTGTTGGAGAGGGTCCAGAGGAGGGCCACAAAAATGATCAGAGGGATGGAACACCTCTCCTATGAGGAAAGGCTGAAAGAGCTGGGGTTGTTCAGCCTGAAGAAGGGAAGGCTGCAGGGACACCTTATTGTAACCTTTCAGTACTTAAAGGGAGCTTCTAAGAAAGATGGAGAGAGACTTTTTACCAGGGCCTGCAGTGACAGGAGAAGGGGCAATGGTTTTAAACTGAAAGAGGGTAGAAGTGTTCAAAGTCAGACTGGACAGGGCTCTGAGCAAGCTGATGTAGTTGAAGATGTCCCTGCACATTGCAGGGGGATTGGACTAGATGACCTTTAAAGGTTCTTTCCAACCCACACAATTCTATGATTCTAACTGAAACCCACATGCTCAGAAAGTCAGTCTGTGGCAGAGACATAGATAACTTACTTCACTTTAGCAAGATTTTGAGCTTTGAAACAAATTCTTATTAAAAAAGCCGATAAGGCAATCTAAACAGATAGTAAGTCACAGTATCATTCTTATTCACAGTACAAGTAAAAAAAAAATTAAATTGCCTGTATACATGTAAGATCATTTGTCCTGAAAGAACACAAGTTCACCAATGAGTAGAAGATCATAGAATCATAGAATGTTTTGGGATGGAAGGGACCTTTAAAGGTCATCTAGTCCATCACCCCTGCAATTGGCAGGGACATCTTCAACTAGATCAGGTTCCTCAAAGCCCCATCTGGCCTTGAAGGTTGCCAAGGATGGGGCATCTATCACCTCTCGGGTGGCAGATGGAACGGGGCAACCCGTTCCAGTGTTTCACCACCCTCATCGTGAAAACTTTTCTTCTTGTGTTCCCATTCCAGTGTTTCATCACCCTCATCATGAAAAATTTTCTTCTTGTGTTTAGTCTAAATCTACCCTCCTTTAGTTTAAAACCATTACCCCTTGTCCTGTCGAGACTGCTAACTGCTTGCTAATTAAAAAGATTGCTAATAATATGTAGAAACCATTTCTTCTATGATTTTATAGTGCTAAATTATAATTTAAAATATATCATTAAACTACCTTTTTGACATTTCCCTTGCATGAAGTATCCCAAACGTACCTCTAATTTTACCCAAGTCATTTTATAAATTGCCAGTATGTTTACTTTTTTCATTTTAAAGTAAACTGAATGACCAAAAAAATAATTGATAACAAGAATAACAGTAATATTAAAAATAAGAAGACCATTAAATCATGTAAGTAAAAGTTTACTGTTTTATATTCTAAGGTAAAAAATTGTTAAGACATTTTACACACAACAGTTCAAAGCATCAACAGTGGTTTCATTCCAGGGAAGAATTATTTTCTGACAATTCTTTTGGGTTGAAAGAATCTACTGAGAAGAGTTCAATAATTTCTGCCTTGACTAGAAAGCAGTTTAAAATAAATACCTAATACATGAACTGCAAGAGGAACTTTTACTTAACCAGTACCACAAAACACAGACTAAGAAACTGGAAATCACATAAAAGCCAAACTATCATTTTCAGTAAGTTACTTCATTAGGTAAATACATACCTTAAGACTACCAAGATCCAGAAGTAGTAAATTTGATGTACGGTCATAGAATCCTTTTTGTGGAACAATGATGTACGAAGCCATGAGGTTAATTTTGAGGTCAAGAACTTTCTGGGTTTCGATAACATACAACAAACCTGAAAAACAATATAACGAGTAAATATAAACAAAGTAATCCACACAGAAGCTATGGAATTAAAAGAAACTATAAAAAGAAATTCAAGTCTAACTTTAAATGAGCTGTGAATGCCAGACAACTAAGTTTAACTGCAGGTACAGATGCTCTTCAGATTTCTTCTGAACAAATAATTATAGGCAGCCTTTAAAGAAGCACCAAGCAGATGAAATGATGACTGCGAACAATGCTAATGGACAAGTAGAAACAGCAACAGGACACATGCAAATCCAAAAAAGTTTCTCAAAAAAAGGAGAAATTTCTGATAGAAAAGACAAGCTGATCCACCTGACTTTGCCTGGTTAATCTAACATTAGTCCTTAATTAAACAGTTCAGTCAAAGAAGAACAAATGAATAGAAATATAATTGATGCCCAATTTCATTCTTGATAAAAGCAATCGATTAAATATACATTATGCTTGAGTTTTCTATAACTTCTTTCACTTACTATCACTGAGTATTCAGATTTTTTAAATGTACAATTTAAATATTAATAGGTTACAAATTTAAATTAGGTTAAAAAAATTCTTTTTTTTTTTTTTCCTTTTAAGAAAGATTTATATACGAAATCTCCCCTTAGCATCCTCTCCTATCCACAGTCAGAGACAGGACACTGGACTGGACACACCTCTGATCTAGAAAGCCTCAGACATCCTTACTGGAACAAGTTAATTCCACAAATCTCAATATTAGTCTTAAAAGTATGCAGTATCTTCATTCATTCTCAAAATACAAGCTCTCTAGAGATAAAAATCTAGGATGAAATGAAAACTGGAGGAATGGCTTTAATGCCGAGTAACTGGAAGACAGATAAATATAGTTTATATGACTTGATCTGAGTCAATCCAGATCAAAATCAACAATTGAAGAAAATGGAAAACACCTATGCAAAGGCAGATAGTGTCCTGAAAAGCAACAACTCTGGAAAGGATTTAGGGGTTTCATTGGAGGACCAATCTCTCAGTATCAGTTTTTGAAGAGTATGAAACAATTAAGGCCATTTAGATAATCAGATGAACAAAACAGAAAAGTTGGAAGTAATAAACTGTTTTTACTCTGCATGGAGTATAACAGAATAAATACTGAAATACTACCTCAGGGTGTGGAGCATATTTTACAAAGAAAGTTGAAGTTGAAAAAGATACGGACATAAAACTATCCAATACCTGGAACAAATGCTTTGTAATGAGATTGAAGAATTCAGCTTATTTAGGTGTTGGATTAGAAAGCTATGACTTGGATCCATGCATCTCCATATGGAGGGATATAATATTTTCATACTCCTAGAATCTAAAATTTGTCTGAGTGAGCAATCAGAAGAGCATGCAGCACTTGCCTGTTGATGTTTTTTCACGGAACTCTTCAAGCTTCATCAGAGTTGCTGACGTCAATTGCTCTAAATGTACATCTTTCGGAGGCCTGAAGAAATCCACTAAGCTATTTATTGTCATCTGTTAAAATAAAGCGAAAATAATGCATGGCAAATTTACCATTAACTAAATTTTTTCAAGATTTATAACTTATTAAAATATTTACTTACTGCATCATATACTATTTCCAGTGGCTGTGATTCTATTCTAAGCCTCTGATCTGCTTTCTCATCCAAAGGATTAGTCTCAAACATTATGCTTAAGAGTGAGGTACTGTTGTCCGAATAGACCGTTCGAGAAGATAGGAGACAGGGTGTACGCTTTTCTCGGGACATGCCTGTAACTTCAAGTGAGGTAATTTTTGTTTCAAATCTGTAAAGAAAGGTAAACAGCACGTTCAGATGTAATATCCGTCTGGCTAGGTACAATTAGATGGTACAAGTATGTAGAATGAGCTGAAAGAAAAAAAAACAAAACAGAACAGAACTGAAAACCAAACAAAACAACAACATATCTCTAACCTAACTCAGAGAGAAATAGATTAGTCTAAGGATATAACACATATACCCATGTGTTAACTGTTTTCTATTTAATTATCTTTTGTGTCTATTACCCATCCTTGAGTAAATAAGAAAGGGGGTCCAAGTTATTCACTTCATACAGTTTCCATGAGGACAGGTGTCAGGGCAGAGAAGAGATGTGCAAATAGAAATTCTGTAGTATGAGCTCAGGAATTAGATGGCACGGTTTACACTGGGGAACAGACACATAGCAGAGAGGGAAGGGTTCCAGTGCAGAGAAACAAAAGAAACACCACAAGAGGAGCACAAGATTAATAGCCTCATTACTCTGAGGAAGTATTTTTTAGGTGTTTTCAATACCCTGTCCACCTCTTTCACAGCTCTCAGCTGAACATCTTTATCTCCCAGCACTCAAAGGAAAGTGTTTCACACTAAAAATATAATATTTTCTTCCCTTTTTCTCAGTATGATAGCATTATTAGGGCCATTTAGATGGACAGGGGAACAAACAGAAAAGCTGCAAGCAAAACTTAAAAAAAAAATATGCATAAAACTCAGCAAGATCAACAGTATCTTAATATCACACGTGGTTTATACTAATATGCCCCAACGTAGAGGGGACAAGGTTTAAAACAGGAAGGCTACCCAGAATTTTTAAGTCATTACATTTGACATGAGAATAAAATATTTCACATCGCTGCTTTTCATCATCCACTGTGAGAGCACAAAACCAAGCCAAACTCATCAGTTACAGCTTTCTTCTGCAAATCTAAAAGCTCAACTGAAAACTCAAGAACTTTTCAGTCACGTTAAATGCCTACACACAAGCCGTTTGCTCAGATTAAGTTTCAAAAGGAGTAACAGTCACTTTTCAAAGCAAGAAACAAGTTAGTAACTCAATTGCTTGTCCGTAACAATGATAAACTGAAAAAAAGGAGAAAATCTGTATTGGCACAAAAAATGCTGAAGATGGAGAGAACTTAATCATGAAAACAGTATACGTTCACTTTGTCCATCAGTTGCAGGATGATTCTGCTCCCAAACTGCACAAGAAACAACAGTGAAAAATGGAAGTTAAACATCACAACAGAGCCTTAAAATGCCTATTAGCCATCGTCACTATTTCATGAGAAGCAAAAACAGTTTGATAGAGAAAGTTCACCTTATTGCTTGTGCACCTGGTCGTTGGGTAAATACTGTACTCAAGTCAGTTAATGCAAATTCTACCAGCTCAGGAGTTTGCTTGTTTTCTCGTATTGATATAGACATGCTTAATAACTTCACAGAGAACTTCATGGCTTCATACTAGATATGCAGGAAAAACAAGAACAGTGGATTATAAAATATGTTAGCATACATTTTGATACAGTTTATGAAGGGATGAAAACCACAAATATTACTTTGATACTATTTTTCTAGTGCTATAAATAGCTTGTATCATAGCTGGTGTAAAAGTCATTCCCAAATAGTTATTATGAAGAGGCAGGGTTAGAGTAAGAGTAGACTATGCTTACAAACATATGTCTTTGATGTCTACACCACATTTTGAGGTAAAGGGCCTCTGACATAGAGCTGTAAGGCAGTCCATTGCACCGTGCATTGCATCTCACATAAAGATGACTTATCAGACTATTTCTGAATGGTTCAAAAATGTTGCTCTTCCCCACTACAGTCCTTCAATCACTTCTTTCCTTATATACTCACCTACTCTACCTCATCTACTATCATTCATATTTAAGATTCCAGTGAATCACTTAGTGACATTTCTTTAAAAGTTTCTGAATATTGTAAGAGGAAATATGAAGCATTTCATAACTTAAACAACAATATATCACTTATATGATTTTATTCTAGCTTGAGCTAACAAAATTTCATTCTGGACTTTTTCAGAATATCCAAAGTAAGCTCTATAACCACTCTCCTGAAACTACATCTAAGGATGCTCTGTTTCGCACAAAGCCAGCATGCAGTAACTTCATTAAGAAGTCTCAGAACAGTATTCAAATATAGAGACAGAGCTTCAAGTAATTTTAAAAGTGAATTCCTATCATGTTTGGATTTTTATTAGTAGATAAAGCTACCAATTGTTTGGTATCATAGTTGGTTATGACTTACTGATTTTGGAAGGGTTGGATCCACAGCTGTTTCACTGTATCCAATTGCTGCATAAAGTTTAGCCTTCTCTTCAGGTGTCATCAGCTCTTCAAGACCTGTCACATTGCAAGACATTAGTTAAACTCAATATAGGTATATGAAAAATGCAAACACTGGTATACACTTTCCAGTGCTTGGTAGCTCTATAACATACAGTAGACATTGTCAACGTTGTCCTGAATCAGTAAAAGCAAAAACCCTGAGGTTTAAAGCAAAGTCTTGAGTCTCTTAAAGCATGCTTTAAAATGCAGTTATACTTTTATTCTGACCTACTCTATTCCTAGCTTGTTAACAACAGAAGCAAACTTTTTGATTTACTTTCCTGTTCCACAACCTTTATTAGGTGCCCTGTACTTCAGTGAATCAAACTCTAATACACTGCATGAAGTAGCCAAATTATAAAATGAATGGAAGTAAATTTGTTTAGACTTCATTAACTGTTACTGTTTTCTAGCACTTCCTTCAAATCCCCATACACAGTACACCATGCACACATGCGAAAACTGTGGCAGGAGAAAGCTCAAATTGAAGACTGTTCAGAAAGACCTATGGAAGTAACTGTAAGATACCTCTGTAACATGCAATTAACAACTTCATGAGCAAAAAAAAAGGCTAAGAGATAATGTAAATGTCAATAATCTGATAGCCCAAATATTAAACAAATCCAAAATGCCATTACTAGGGACCTATTATTCTATGTCATTTTTAAGACTAGAAAAAAATACCAATAAATGAACATACTTGAACCCTTTACTTCTTGTTTCTGTTCATCCTTTTTTTCACCTGACCAGCTCCATATCCAACTAAACCAGCCACCAGAATTTTCATCATCTTGTTTTACTCCTGGTCTGTAGATTTTTAATCCAGCCTTAGTTGCCTGAAATTTAAAAAATACTCAAACAAGTCATTTTCTTCATGCTTTCTTCATTTTCCTAAGAAAAATATAGACCCAAGACATGCTCTAACACATCAAAACATCATTAAACAACCACTGAAAAGGCAACATGTTATTTTTTAGTTTTTCATCTAATAACTTTTTCAAGTACACAGCGCATCACCAGACCAATTCTCACTTGCATAAAATCAACCACCTTTATGAACAAAAAGGGCAAGCAAAAGGTAGCTGATTTTAAGTCAATAAATGTTTCTTACATAGCAGATTTTCTCTCTAGCTCTCACCACCAAAAAAAAAAAAAAATTCACATTATATAGCATTCTACATTACAAAAATGCACTTATAAGGAATCATTAAAAATATATATATAAGCAATTAAACAGCCAGCACAGGCCAAATTTTAAATGATCCCTATGTTCTTAATCTCAAGACAGAATCATAGAATCATAGAATCGTCAAGGTTGGAAAAGACCCTTAAGATCACCGAGTTCAACCGTTAACCTAGCACTGCCAAGTTCATCTATACCATGTCTTCAAGTACCGTATCTATCCATTCTTTAAATACCTCCAGGGATGGAGACTCAACCACTGCCCTGGGCAGCCTGTTCCAATGCTTGACCA